TTTATCATTTATTATGTGGCTTTGATGGGAAATGTACAAAGTCTGAAAAATAAATCTTTGCGTCACTTGGAGTCGAGACAACATTTGTTTCACTAGCAAAGGAAAAGCACAGCTCACACTAAAATAAAAATATATAATAAATAATTAAAAAAATAAAGTGTGAAATGTATTATTATTATTATCATTATTAATAATAATGTATTTGTATTTGTTATTCACACAGAATTGTGAACTTGAATGTTATTTCAAAGACTAAGGAAGAGAGGAATAACATTTTTGAATTTAACAAAGGATAATTATGAGGCTACTTTAAAATCTTATACTGCACAAAAAAAGAGTTTAAACTCACTCCTGTTATACTAATGTCAGATTTTCATAGGAGATCTAAGTATATAAAAAATATTTTTCATTCCATAACTTAAAATGGATGAAATATAAGAAAAACAAGATGCAGAGAAACAAAAATATACAGTAATGTTAATAATGTAGATTATTGAGTCCATTCCGGTTTATTCTTTATGCTGCAATTTCATGTAAATGATGAACCTAATTTTGCTTCAGACAAATACAGTTGGCTATGCCTGTAATTTGACCAGATCCACAGAAGTAAAACAAAAAAAGAGATGACCATGCCATCTTTTATAAACATCCACTGCCTGTAGAGTCACTGTTAAACCACCATAACGGGAGGATTCATCTGACGAACCGTAATCACCTCTTGTTCTTAGTTTTAAAGAGTTGTATGCCTTGATGCGTGATGCCCATCACCAACAACGCACATTGGGTCCAAATGAGAGGAGGTAGAAACAGAAGTAAAGAGAGACGGAGACAGGGAGATAGAGAGAGCTACCACGGTTGATGTACATCTGTCATGCATTATTGCAGCGAATGCCAGCGCTTCTATCCTGGCTTTAGAAACTATGTGAGGAGGGGGTTGATGGGGTCCTCCTTAAATCACAATCTGATTCCTCCTCCTCTTCTCCACCGCTCCTTTTTGGTGACTAAACCAACACACACACACACTCTCACAGACACACACATACACACAAAACATTGTCTCCTAAAAACATTGGCAGCTTTCTTTCTGTCTTCTGCACACACACACACACACACACACACACACACACACACACACACACACACACACACACACACACACACACACACACACACACACACACACACACACACACACACACACACACACACACACACACACACACACACACACACACACACACACACACACACACACACACACACCGCACACTATCCCCCTATGAATTCCTCAGGAAGGAGTCAGCCTTCTTCATTCCTCTGGACACAACTTTTCCTTAACAAGGTACTGATGGTCTTGACCTCCTCTTCAAACAAACCCTTCTTTCCAATCAGCGAGGATTGTGGAGCTGGGGCTCAGTTGAGGCCTGTGGGTATTACAGAGGAAATGTCCTGATTCTCCTTGATTACTCCCTCTCTCTTTCTGTATCCCCCCTCTTTCTGCCCCCGCTCCCACTCCAAATATCTCTGTCTCAGTGGCTTCTGGCTCTCCTGTTGTCTACAACCCAATCTCAAACATTTTCTTCCGCGTCTTCGTCTGTCTACCCACTGTATTTTATTTTCTATTCGTCTTGTCTGCATCCATCCCTCTGATTACTCCCTGGTTTGCTGTTCAGAGTGTTCCCAGTCTCCAGATGATGAGCTGTTTATCCACTTTGTTAGCAGACATTCAACAAATTATTTACATCAAGACATTAAGGAGACTGTAGGGATATGCTCTATATGTGTGTTCATTTTACACAAATTGCCCTATGACATGTAGAACTGGGTAAAGGCACACATTACATAAATTACTCTTTAAAACCCAATGTGACTTTTAAAGGGGCCCTATTATTCTTTTAGGGGTTTCACTTTCCAGAAGTGTGTTATACAGGTATTTGTGCATGTTAATGGTCTGCAAAGGCTAAACTCCCAAAGTTCCCTCCAGAGGGAGTTTCACACACTCCCCCCCCGCCCCTGCCTGAAATGTGTTAATTGGACTCCTCTGTTTATTTCCTTAACACAATGACATCACTATGCAACACTCACGCTTCTATAGTGCTCCAACACATTGTACGAGATAGGCTAAGGGGCGGTACACCTTTAAACGGTTGACCAATCATAACAGAGCCTGTCAGCTAACCAATCAGAGCAGACTGGTCTCTGGTTTCCGACAGAGGGTGAAAAGAAGTGTTATAATTAAAATAGCATTCTGGAGCATTCCTTAATTTTGATTTTACAGCAACATGCCAATTCACAATGCCCATGCTAACATGAGCTGATATTTATCTGGTATAGTTTAGCTTGTTAGCATGCTAACAACAGAGGTGAGACATAAGACCTAAAGAGTTATCATCTGTGAGCCATGCACAACATTTCAGGGCAATCCATCGAATAGTTGTTGATATAATGGATCGACTGAGTGAGTGACATTGCCCTCCCTCACTGCTTGCCTGGCAAAAATATGTATTCAACATGTGTCCGACATGTGCCATCGGCTAACACTGAGCCTGTTTTCTCATGTCGTGGTTCCAGCCAAAGAGATGTTGAGCCTTTTGTCCTCACATGACTGGCATTATTACAGAAAGCAGACTTCCTCATCTAACTTCAACCCCACTTTAACTGATCTCTTGATCATTCTGACTTTCCCTGTCTCATCTTTGTCACCATCTTTACTGCATTTCACTGCCTCTCAACACTTTGTCTTCTGCTTTTCCCTGTGGTGGTTTGCATTAAGGACTGTCTGGTTGGAAGATGTGGTATTTACAGTAAATGGCACTGTGCATGTGTGTGTTTGACTGCATGCATGTGTGCAAGTTTTCATGAATGTGAAAGATGTGTGTGTGTGTCTGGGCACACAAATGGAGGACAATAGCAGCATAAAACACACAAACTGAGGCAGTGACACAACATTTTCGCAGACAGTGGCGGCTGTCCGTCATAAATCAGCTATTCTAGCTAAGACACTGTGAATGCCGGATGACCGGAAAGTGACACGGCAGCCACAACAGTGTCATTAAATGCTTTTCACATTTCCTGGACGACATGCTGCAGGAGGGCACGAGCGGGAACTGCTCCTCAAACAAGAGTCCCCTCTGAGTGAGGAGAAAGGGGGACATTGGAGGCTGGGACCCGAAGGTCACCGTGTCTGTGAGGCTCACGCTCTGCCCGGGTCCTGCTGACTCACCACCGGACGACCAGGACTAATCTGTGTACGTCTGGGGCCACCATTACTCAAATATTAGTCACAGCGCCCATTTAGTTGATGGACTTGAAAAGAGTGTCTGTTCTCCTGACACACTCTGGGGCCCGAATGTGGTTTTCTCAATCCCATTTTGACCTGATGTGATAGTATTTCCTCTCCCTGCTCTTTGCCTGTCTCCAGAATCTGTTAAAGCTGGTATAGTGACACACATCCTGCGTCAAAAGACTCCCACTGAGATGCTGACTGGCTTTCACTCAGTGGATGCCTGAGGGCAACTTCCGTCTTCTGTTGAAAAAGAGTTGCCCTTCTTCCTTTGTTCTGCTTTGGAATATTATTTCATGATTTCTTGGATGACTGCTGATTGCCTGACAGATTATCTGATCTTTCATATTTCTGAGGAAAATGTGGTTGTTTTCTCCACCAAAGAGGTCAAGATTGTATGTTGGTTTGTCAGCAGGTTTACGGAAAATCTTTCGGCCTAATTTTTATGAAACTTTGTGGAAGGATATCACATGAGCAAAGAAAGAACCCATTAAAGTTAGCATCAAATCCAAATCAAAGGAAATGCACTTCTAGTTTCACGTGTAATAATATCACTCCTACAGTCAATGGGACTATTGGTATTATAGTTTTTTTAAGAAGGTAATTTAGACTGAACATTTGTGTTGAATAAATATAAAATAAATGTGCAGCGATTGAGCAAGGATGTGGGTGTTTGGGGGTTTCAAGTTTTGACATGCTTTTCAGTCAGTATTTAGCAATAGTGCCATTTTCATTTTACAATAGAACTCAAATTGTGACGCTGTTGTTTTCGTCAAAGCAGCCATAGATAGAAGTAGCAACCAGCTTTCCCTACTTCCTTAACATAGATTGGACTAATGTTATCTTAAACTGGTGCAAGTTAAACAGAAAACCACCATAGGACAAAAAAGAAGGGTAAAAAGTATTTTAATATGTGGTTTGCTAACACTGTTATGGAGCAAGTAATAAGAATGGAAAGCAGAAAAGCTTCATTTCGAACATTCATCAGATAACAGACCAAGTAAGAATATAGCGACAAAGCAATGGACTGTATATAATAGGCATCTGTAAAAGGAGGAATGTGTATACTATGTTCATGTTAAATAAGTTTGTAAATCATCCTACAGCTGACTGAATTCTACTGAATTGCAAAAACTAAAAGTTCAGAAGATAGTATATCAGAAGGGATGGTTGATAATATGATTAGTTTAAAAATAAATGTCCATCCTCCAGGAATTTGTGACACTGGGAGCACACAGAGAAGGCCACTAGATATTCAAAAACATGATTATAGGACATAGCAGCCTGTTTCTCATGATATTGAAGTATAATATGTCTGGGTCAAACCAATGGTCAAAACTGACCATTACAAGAGGAATCATCATAACTCAAGTGGGTACAAATACATTTCTTGTGTGGGAGAAATATGGTTTATGTCACTCTCTGCATAAACAGCAAAAAAAAAGATTAAGATTAAGCCACTCTAGGATTCCCTTTTCTGTAAAACTCAGTGGCTCAACAGCCTCCCATGGCGAAAAACTGAAGACCAGAGAGACCTGAGGCATGGAAAGTAACAGAGACAGAGTGATTCAGTGAAAGTGAATGGCTCTGACTCCCCTACCCATCACTGAAGAGGGAGGTAGAAAAAAAGGAGCAGGGAAAGGACGCACAGAGGGGGAAATGACTGGCGACTGTGTGGGAAGAGAGAGAGGAGGGGCTTAAAAAGTATGAACTTGTGTATGATTTAGCTGCAGGAAGCATTGAGAAGCGAAAAGACTGCAAACAGGACGCGGTAAACTCACGCTTTTAGCCTTTACCGAGGACGTGTTTTCCTCATGGCTTCTCAGCGGGGAACTTTTTCCACCGGGTCACACTTTTTCTAGTGCGCTCCTTCGCTCCTGAGAGTTATCTTGTTAATAATATCCGGAGCATTTAGCTTTTGAACCCGTGCTGTTTTTTCCTCACTGTGCGTAATTTCTACCCAGGATCGAGGAAAAAGGCGACATCACAACAACACGAGGACGAGGGATCAAGACAGAAATAAGACGAACTGGGGGAAAATGAAAGGCGTCTTGGATATCTGCTTGGTTTTCCTCATGCTGCACACTCCCGGCGTGCTTTCCTTGTCCACACGTAAGTTGCACACAGATGTCCATCGATGCGCAAACTCAGGGTCTTGCTGGGGAAGAGTTTTTTGATGGGTTGGGAACAGGCTGCCCTTTTTTTGGTCCACTAATACCAGTTTAATCCATGTGTCACTCAAACATCTGACTGTAAACAACTCTGTGGGACATTGTCTTGCTCTAGTACGGAGTAGCCTATTTTAAAAATAAAACAAATGCAAAAATTGATTTCCACAACAATACAAAACTAATGAGGGTAATAGTCTGTGCAAACAATAAATTACAACCATTGGCAGTAAAAATATAGCAAGAATAAATCTGGGATAAAGAAAACATACCGTTTTGAAAGGAGGTGAGTCAATGTAAACACTCCAAGGCCATATAGGACACCAAAGTAAAATCATATGGGATGGAATTAGTATTTGAGAAGGATAATATTCTGTGAACACCTTGAATAAAAACTACAAGCTCTTATAAACACAGTGTATGGATGTTATAGTGATATTAAACATTATTAAAAACAATAAAAATACCTTTTACCTCCACTAAGTGTACCAAAGATATAGGGTTCCCATAAGAGGATAACATATGTAAATCCTGTATAGAAACACATACTAATCACATTGATCCCTTCTTGGTAATACTATATTTAAATTAGGTATCCAATAAGAATAATGAATATAAAGAGTTCCCATAGGAGGATAACATATGTAAATCCTTTATGTAAATACAAAAGACTCACATTGACCCCTCTTTGGTAATGCTGTAAAATGCGTTTCCAATGTCAAATAACTCTTCTGATCCTGAAGAGCACTCCACTCTGGTTTATTTGTGGATACAACAAAAAAGACAAATGCCACTTTGTCCACTTGACACCTCCTGTTATTGATGTGCTCCTGGTGAAGTATATCGGTTGTGTCCCTGCAGAGAGAGCTGCCCTCCCAGGAGGCTGCATTTCAACAAGTCAAGGCCATAATTCGTTTAACACATGGGGGCTTTAGGAAGCGCAACAAAACAGTGACATCATTTGCCTGAGTTTTGAAGAATGTTAACCGGCAGCTTAATGCACGGTAACGTAAATAAATCAAAGTTATGTCCGCTTCCCCTGTTAAGTGGCTGGATTCGTTTTTATGGTGAGCTCACTGGCACAGAGCAGCTCCTCTGAGAGGATCTCCTGTTCTTCATCCTGTTTGAAAGGCGCTAATAAAAGAAAACATAGTTCCAGGGGCTTAGAGTCGACAATGGGCCTTGATCATAAACTGCCCTGCTGTTTATTACAGGGCCTAATTGGTCATTACTGTTTTATTCACTGTAATAATGGAGGGTGCTTTCCTTTCACTCAGCGTGCTGTGGTTAACAAATGCCACAGAAATTAAACGGTTTAAATGTGGAATTTTCTTAGCAACATATAATTAGTTTTATGCAGCTCATGATCCCATAAAATTCAGGTTCAGATCACTTTATTTGAACCTGTTGCTAGATCTAATTTGAGTTTATAGCATATAAAGAGGTATCGATGTTGGATTTGATAATGTAATAACAAATATTTGACTCTGAAAGACATACAATTATTAAAGTTTACCTTGAGTTAACTTATTCATGTCCCATCTCTCCTGCCTGTACTTGTACTAATGTGATTTATGCCAGACAAGATAATCTCTCCTCTTTCCATTAAGAGCAACAGTTAAATACCTAAAATGTTAGCTAAGGAGAATCAAACAACAGAAAAATATCCACCGTCTCCTCGATCTCCTTTCAGATAGTTATGCACGGCTCATTGTCATTAAATGTTGCGTGACTTCTTCCACTTGGCTCGTCCTCACTGGCCCCTCAAATTATTCCACATGTACGGCTATTGTACAGCAGACAGAGGAAAGAAAATACTTTGAACATGGATGAGTGAAGAGTATATAGTTCTCTAGAACTGAAAGGGACGTCACGTACCTTTGAAGACTGACAGCATAAAGAAAAGTGCCCAAAGACTCCACATAATTAGTCATACATGTCATCGGAGGCCTCTTGCTCGAAAAAAAACTTCCCTAGCTTTCAATTCAACTTATCTCCATCCTCCACTGTCACAGAGTTTAACGCTGAGCTTCAAGCACCCTCAGCTTCTTCAAACAAATACTATTTTACAAGCCATTTCCTCAAGTGAGTGTGTCAAGCAGAGACAATAAACAGTAGTAATTGTGTGCATCACTGTAGTGTTTAAGCTGTGTTGTAAAAGGGGGCTTCGCACCCAGCTCTGGGGCAACAGCCCATCCCCAGCGCCTGGAATACATAAACACTGATTGTTATTCAGCTGGATCAGCATATTATTAAGTCCGCCGTATCCAGTGACAAAGCCAATATGCATGTGTTTGTTTGTACTTGTGTGCGTGCATAAATGTGTTTTGTCACAGCTGGAGTTTTGATATTGATATTAGTGCAGTTCTTCAAAGGCGGCTCCTCCATAGAGGACCACACAGTGTCTGTCAGCGTCAGGTGGCGTGCAGCCCAACAGACGTGGCCCCCGGGTGCAGATTTGTAGTTGGTCTGACAAAGTGTTGACGCGCTCAGTCGTTAATGCATAGAAATCATCTCACTTACTTTGTTTTCATTGTGCCGTCTACTTAGGTGGGCTGCATTTTTTTTAAAAGCCTCCAATCCCAAGAAATAAACTCTCAAAATCTCCTCTCTTGTGAGCTGCTGTTGCATAAGAGACCGGAGAACAAATAACACACACCGCAACAACACAAAGTCCTACAAATCCACCATCCTACACAGGAATAGTAATTTAAAAAGTCATTCAAAACTCAAAAAAAATTAATAAATATATGAGTATCAGCGTGCTAAAACCCAAACTCAGGCCAGAGTTGACGAAAAAAAGCAGAAATTATCCAACACAATCACAAATAAACTTGCAAAGTGCACACAGTAGAGTAGAACACAATTAGTTCAGACTCATCAGAGAAAAACTTTGAATAAACCATCTTGGTTAGCCCACTTTATACCATTATAACAATAATCTCCTCTGGTTTTGTCGAAAAAAACCTTACTGCATTCCCAGAATCAAATGTGCAAATGTGCTGGCTCTACATGTGTTTTTCCCCTCTGTCTGCATGCTGGGCAGCAGCTCTCACTTGTTCCTCAGAGGAAGACCATTAAATTAGCACAAAAAAAACTCAGCAAATAACAAATAGGCGATATATCCTTCCAATCACCCAACCTTGAAACTGACCTTTTCGTGTAACCTTCCTGGAGTGCTCATCAACCGTCTTCATCCATCTCCTCCAGATGTAGCAGTTATCTATCCCCAGGACCCCGTCCTGCGCATGGGGTCCACGCTGACCGCCAGCTGCTGGGTCCACCCCGACCTCGGCGTCCACGCCAGCTCTCTGTTCTGGACGCTCAACGGTCAGCCGCTGCCCGGCTCCATGTACAGAGTCCTCAGCCCCACCAACCTCAGTGTGACGCTGGCCGGGCTCAACGCCTCCCGGCAAACATCCGGCGACAACCTGGTCTGTCACAACCACAAGGGACACATCCTGGCCGGATCCTGCCTCTATGTAGGAAGTAAGTTGAAGTTTATCAGTACGTTTAGATGATTATTGAGCCCTGTGTCATCAATGGAGAGCTCATTTTTTAGCTTACGTATTTGGCTAATGTACAGTATCTCTGAGGAATATCTGTCTGCATTTGTCTCTTCTCCACTGTTAGTCAACGTTAAAAAGGGAAAAGAAACAGCAGAATGAAATGTAAATCGGAAGCAACATGGAAGCAGTAGGCAGATTTTTCTTTTTTTAAGTGCTGTATTTTATGTTTTGTATTCCTGCCTCCAGTGAGAGGCCTCCCTCAGTGTGTCACTGTTTGATGCTTTGGCCACCTGTGTGGTCCATTACTCGCACACTAGCTCACAGGGCAGGGGTCCTTTCACAAAGACACATGTTACAATTTCTGTATATATGAGGACCATCATTTATATTTAGCATTTTCCAGATCTTACTCGTTTTATTAAAGTTAACTTTATTTGGTGTTCCTGTCAACAAAATGTCTTAAAATAACCAGATTTTTCCATGGGCAGTCCTTATCCTCAAGAAATATGGTTATTCGCTGAGAATGAGTTACTTAATACCAATGCTAAAAATGGCTTAAGACCCAAATAATAAATAAAACTGAAGGCATCCTTTAACATTTAAACAGCAGCCTCTCTGAAAATGTTTCCTACAGTACAAACGCCCTTTCTCTTCCCAGATACATAAAAATACAGGCCATTCCTAAGACTGTGAAAGGTGATGTGATGAAATACGACAAAAACGTAACCATGAAGAAACACACACACACACACACACACACACACACACACACACACACACACACACACACACACACACACACACACACACACACACACACACACACACACACACACACACACACACACACACACACACACAGATATACACACACAAATTAGGGAAAAAACAAACCAATTTGTGAAGAACATCACTAGTGGGTGAATTACACTCAGGAGGAGGAAGGAGCTGAAGTAATGGCTGGTCGTAACTTTGTACACTAATGACCCTACATCTTCCCTCCTTTTTTCTCTCCGCTCTACTCTCCCTTTTCCTCCTCACCCATTTCTGTCATCTCTATTTTCTTCCCCTTTCTCCCCATATGTCCCCCTTTCTGTCCCAGTGCCTCCAGAGAAGCCGGTCAATATGACCTGCTGGTCCAGGAACACCAAAGACCTGACATGCAGCTGGGCTCCAGGAGGGAAAGGAGAGACTAACATTAGCACACAGTACACACTCAAGTACAAGCTCAGGTACACTCACACAAAAACACACACTACAGCTACACTGTGGAAAACACTCATTGTGACAAATAATTATGTTCCTTATCTTAAAAAACAGCATTTTTTTGAAATGTCAAGACCTTTTTGATGGTTGAGCTAAAAAAACATTCCCCTTTTTCTCAGGCATAACTCCAACAAATAAGAGCATATACATATCACACTCATACATCTTGAATAAGTACCACATACTTTCTCTAATATATAGTATATGATTCTGCCATAGGCCTATAAATGAAAGGGGGTTAAGACTGAGTCAAAACCAAGCAAAACCAGGTTTATTCAAATTGGCTCAACTTGTTAACGTTCTCAGTTCAAATCAAAATTATCAGCAGGTTTTTATGATGCTGACATGCCTCAAAAAGGCCCCAGAAACAAGCTAAAGTGGAGCTGGAAACGGGACAAAATACCATATCTCTTTGGCAGATCGTATTTTAAGAAAAATAACATCATTGTTGCCAGAGGGTGAAAGCCTTTCGCCAGTAGAAAAGTCACATTTCATGAGATTTAGGGAAAACGGGTTTTCATCTGGGAACGATACATTTTGAAAAATTAGTTTCAGATGCGGTTGTAAGCTCTTTTCCAATTTATTATAGTTAAATCAGCAATTTGAAAGCACTAAAAGGGAAACAACCTGACATGCAGTGCCCACAGGCGCTTCAACCGCATTGAGATCTCTCGCTGCGGTCAGATTAGTGTAAATAAGGACTTAATAAAACCACTTGTGACAGATAAGCTCTTAACTGGTAACACATTATACAATAAATTACGTATTGCATGATATCGGTGCTGTACAGAGTTATTTGAGGTATTTTCTGTTTTGCTCCCAGGTGGTATGGCAAGGAGAAGGAGTGTGAGGATTACACTCATACGCAGCCTTACTCCTGCAGCATCACCCGGGACCTGCACCTCTTCACGCCCTACGAGATCTGGGTGGAGGCCTCCAACCAGCTGGGCAGGGCCGCCTCCGATGTCATCACACTCGACATCCTAGACGTGGGTGAGTGTGAGAAAAAGTGAACTTTGACCTGGTTTCTTTTACCGTTTCTTTACAGCTTAGATCCCAGTGTGAATGAGCCTCTAGGGTATAATATAGGACAGGGGATGCTAGGCTTTTAGGCTTGTAAAAAAACTGAGAAATGTCTACCTGCTTCTCCTTGTGACAGCTTAAACATGTCAACTTGTTAACAGTTCAACCAGAGAGGGATTTTGTGATCTTCCTTTAATTCAAAGAAATGGTTAGACATTTTGCTTTCATTAACTCTCTTGTCTCTGTGTTACTTTCGGAGCTACATCATAGCGCAGAGAGGCAATTATCTTAGCTTAGCATCGGGACTGTAATCAGGGTAGACAAAGCTAGACAAAACATTAAAAATAACGCCTTCAAGCGCCTCTGAAGATTATTGATCAACACGTTGTATCTTGCTTGTTGTTTAATCGGTTGGAAAAATGTAATGTAATAATAACAATTTGTGGTTATTCAGGGGTTAGGTGCTAGACATATTCTTGTCTAGTAGCAAGTTTGCACACAGCCAGGCTAGCTTTATCCCTGTTTTTTAAGGCTTTATCCTATGCTATTGAATAAAAAAACACTCAAATAGGATTGTGTGCATAATATTAACTCAGAACTTAATTTTAAATGATTGTGGAATAAAGGAGAAAACTTAAAGCAACAACACAAAACTCAAGTGGTGTATTCCTGCCTCTAATTCTCATCTTGTGACCCCTCAGATTTATTTTGTGACCCACTGGTTTGTAACCATGATTAACTTCAGCTTTAGCCTCATATTGCTGCTCTTAAAATGTTGAAGCTTGTCACTTCACTTTACAGTTTCATCTCCTTTATTCCTACAGACAGGAGATTGGCTTGTGTTCTGTTTTTTGGGAGAGAAGGTTGTTCACAAGTTCTCATCCAGCTTTACGCTGATATGAACTGAGCGGTGTTCCCTTTTAAAGCTTTGTTATGATGTCCGTGGCCTAGCTTAGTGCGGTTTAAGCAAATGGACCACAAGATCAAAATTCTTCTCTACGCTCATTATCTCATAAAACAGACACACACACACACACACTCTCACATGCTTGCACACACCTGGACAGGCGTAGGTGTGTGACAAATGGGAACGCCCTCTCCTTTGATGAGCTCATTTTCTCTTTACTCATGCTCACCGGACACACATTCAGAGACACACATAGAAAACACTTGCTAATCCCCTTTTTTTGTGGTGCTGGAATGTTCCACACTGATCCTTGAACATAATCCCGTCTCCAAGACCCCCGAGGCCTTAGGAGTTAGGGCTTTGAGGCTTTGAGGCTTTAAGACTTGGACCTGAAATAATACAACATGATTAGCTCGGAGATTTTCACCTGGTTCAACAGGCTCATAACAGTGCCGGGGAAATGTACAGAGAGCAAAACTATGTAGAGCTTTCGAGGTAAACACGTCACCGGTGAGGAAACAAGCGTCCATCAAACTGTAATCCTTTTTCCGTTCCCTAATGTATGCACGCACACCTGTTTACACGCCCCGAGGGCAGGGCAGGGCCTGGTAACGGTATAGAAACACAGTGTAGGCGGTTTCTGGACTTGTGTGTGTGTGCGGGGGATTTTGTTTCGCTCAGGTTGCCCTGGCCATTCTTCTCATGCAAGCAGTTTCCACAACAGTAGCAGGTCATAAAACAAAGCAGCCGCACCTGCGTGGAGGTGATGTGAGTCACTACGGTCATGTCCAATCAGTTATGAAGGCGAGGCGAAAACACCTCCAGTTTGCTCTGCATTCCTCAGTCACGGGGATACCTGTGCACCGAGAGACTAGAGGCAACTTGTATGGGTTTCTGACTCCGAGAGGATGAGCGATGACATAATGTATGTTAACAATGATTAATCTGTAATTTGCTATGTCTAATTGACTTGTATTGCTAAATGCACAAGATGTATAGGAACACCGCACTTCTACTGAACAGTGGACCAATTACTTAAAGGTGGGGTAGGTCATTTTGGAGGAACCAGCTCGAGTGCGCTAGAATTTGAAAATACACAGCCGGAAAAAATCTGCCACTTCCTTACAGAGCCCCTCCTCCAACACACACGAACGCGCACATGACCAATGAGGGCACGAGATAAGTTTGTGCACAGATGGAAGGCTGACAGGCAGGTAGGCCATCCAGTTATTTTAGCCGGGCCGGCTCAGATGATTGGTCGTGCTTTTCACAGTACTACGGCTTCCACTGATGACATTTTTTAATGGATTTTTTGTCAAAGCACTTCAGATATTCATTGCTATCAGGATGTTAAGAGCATTCCATGGAATATAACAAAAAGTGTATCTCGAGCCGGTTTCTCAAACTTACCTACCCCACTTTTAATTGCTCATTAAAATGATTCTTCAAAACAAATATATATATATTCTACAACTAAATGATCTTCTAAGTATTCCTCAGAAATCAAAAGCAGCCAAGGATGAGATCATTTTAAATAAGTCAATTATCTTATTATCTTCAAATATCTTGGCTTTTTACTTGTGATACATAAGTAATCATTAAAAAAACTATGTGAAAGACTATGTTGTCATCTCAAAATAAATATCTGAATGCTATCCATATTTACATTAGCAGATAAGGTATTATTATGCACTGTGCTATTATGATTCCCAAATGAATGACTGTCAAATAGAAACATTAGAAATGGTATTTGATCTTTACTACAAATAGCACTTTCATGTGTGGCTCATCTTTGAATGATGTTCAAGTCTAGGAAATGCAAAAATGTAGATTCAAGGTTTTTTGAAAAGAAGGCAGAATATTTAGTTATTTCTATAACAGAGTGTTGCAGGCAGTACTGGTTTGCGGCGTAGTCAATCAGAGGGCAGGGAAGGAGCCTCTTTGTAGCCTGAGAGACAGAATGTGGGGCAAAGACAGTCCAACAATGCTTGTGAAGCTCCATTCTGTGAGCACAGGAATAATTGAAACCATGTCTTCGGTTTTTTTAACAACTCTTTTATCTCTTCATCTGAAAAATGAACGGCTCTGTCAGATTGCATTTGTCCCTTACTTGTCATTGTTTTGGGCAATTAGTGTCCCCACTGTACTTAGATGTTTAAGTACTTAAAACTTTAGTTTTCTTAGTTTTACTCTCAACTTTTGTCTTTTTAAAAATAAGCTTTTTTCTAAGATGAAAGAAAATGCATGCCACCCGTCACCCCAAGAGTACAGACACGCCTGCAGTTACGCATTTTATTTCAGAGAGTCTCCCGTTCCTCCGAAAGCTGGGGACCAGAAACATCTAAAACTCTCTCGTGTCAACTCCCACTTTTCCACTGAATCTTTCCCATCTTCTATTTCCTCTGGGTTAGTCTTGTTTGTTTATGGTAAGGGATGACATTATAAAAAGGAACTGAAGTTGGTATTGAAACGATCTAAAAAACAAAACGTTAAAAATAATGGTCTGTCAGTACATGTTTGTTTGTCGAAACGATAATCGTTGTCAGATGAAAAAGCCTCTTCCAGCTCACAGAAGTCAACTCTTCTATAAGGAGACCACAAACCTCGGCCAACCCTGAACCCTTCAGTGAGCTGCGACACATTCCGATTTACATTTCTATTGAGCGGATTTTCTTGACCCTGCAAACACTGAAATGTAGAAAGAAGCCCCTAAGCTATGAATGTTTGGCTGAAAATAATAATCATGGCCATCTGTCCACCAGAAGTTTATCATTAAGGTCTTAACATAGAAATATACTTGTTAATGGATGTAATGAATTACAAAGTACTCCAGTTTGTGCCTCTCATGAAGTCATTGTTTGTACATTGGAGATTTTGCACTGGTTATGTCATTATAGTCACACACTGGTTTAACATTGTTTTACAAAATCCATCCAATCCAATTATATTGAACATTTTAAACTATTTTCGGACATTGTATAGACCCAGAGGGAGCTTCTCTCCCACACACTGACCTATGCAACCACTCAAAGCGCTTTACAGCAACGCATTCACGCCATGCTGTTGGTTCAGTATCTTGCCCAAGGACACTTTGACTTGTTGACTGCAAGAGCTTGGGATCAAACCATCAATCTTCCTATTGGTGGACAAACTATTTTGCCATTCTCCTCACTCAGCAATAGTGATCTTGAGGATGTCAGACTTCATTACAGCCCTTGCATAACCCTTTGGTTTAGGGAATGTTTTGTTGGAACCAAATTGATTTTAATCATATGTTCAGCTCTTTGGATCAACTTACTTAATAACCTCTTCCTCTCTTCTCCCTGCAGTGACCACGGACCCTCCATCAGGTGTGTCTGTCAGTCGCGTCGGGCAGCTCGAGGACCAGCTGAGCGTCCGCTGGGAGGCCCCACCTGCCCTCAAAGACTTCCTGTTTCAGGCCAAATACCAGATCCGCTACAGATTGGAGGACAGCCAAGACTGGAAGGTATAAGGACACACACTTATAAAGACATAAATCAGTTCTCCTTGTCTCGTACACACAAACACATATATCACTGCAGCTGTTTCTCATCCTAATGCTGTAATCACCTCTAATCTAGTTTGATTGATGCCTCCGCTGCCAGATGGGTTAATAGTTCAGAAACTTTCATCAGCCATAAATCTCAGTCAGGTTTTGATCATGAGAAAAACACGGGCCAGAGCCACTGTGTATACCTCTGTTCAGACTTTTAATGAATGCAAAATACAGTGTAAAACCTTCAGCCGTGCAGATGGCGCTTCCCAGGATTCATTTGAGTCCTCTGGGTACGAGTGAAGATTCTCCTGTAATTAAGGGGGAATTACACAGATGTAATATAAGCAAGTCTTTGCTCGCAAAGTGGAAAAAGAAAAGAAGAGGAGTGGAGAGACGCGGCGGAGAGATGAGACCGTTTCGAGGGAGGAGAGAGGGACTTAAATCCAAGTGGCTTTAAGGGTTTGGTGGTGAAAACAAAACGCCATTTTCCCTCCGAACCGGCCCTAATCATGAGGTCATGCTGAGGAATGGAGGGATACATCTCAGCTGTTAATGCCTTCAATATGGCTGTAAAGACGCTCAGCGGTAACGTCTGCCGATTTGGCTTCCCCACGTCACATCATTAGCCCTCTGATGCCAGTAATTTCCATGTTCTGTTTTCTGTTGTAGCCATTCTTAACAAGTGTTTACAGACTGAATGCCAGAGAGAAAGTGGGGACTATTAGACAAGATAATTAACTACAGTGCGTGGGCGTCTCTTTCTCTCTATCTATTCTCTTTTTGCTGTACTGTATGCATTGAGTACATGTACATGTACATGCTCTTCAGTGTTGTTCCTCTGCATATCCTGCTCTGTAACAAGTAACAGAGAGCAGATTTTTACCCAGCGGGCACGATTACATTAAAACATTTTCATAAACACACTGATCAGGAGTCACTAAACAATGTGGTGTGCATGCATGTTTAGGTCTGTACATGGTTTGTGGTTGTGTTTTCTACATCTTGACTCTGCACTGTGTTTAAGTTTGCGCACATTGGTATTTAATACTGCAGTCAGACCTCCAACTATTCTGTGTTTGGCTCTTTTTTCCAATAGGTGATGGACGACGTTGGGAATCAGACATCTTGTAGATTGGCTGGACTGAGACCTGGAACTGTGTATTTTGTCCAGGTACGATGTGGTCTGTGTGTGTGTGTGTGTGTGTGTGTGTGTGTGTGTGTGTGTGTGTGTGTGTGTGTGTGTGTGTGTGTGTGTGTGTGTGTGTGTGTGTGTGTGTGTGTGTGTGTGTGTGTGTGTGTGTGTGTGTGTGTGTGTGTGTGTGTGTGTGTGTGTGTGTGTGTGTGTGTGTGTGTGTGTGTGTGTGTGTGTGTGTGTACTTGAGATTTAGTCAGTTTTAATAATGTTGTATCTTCTCCAGGTTCGCTGTAATCCCGTGGGAATCTACGGTTCTCGCAAAGCTGGGATCTGGAGCGAGTGGAGCCATCCTACTGCTGCATCCACACCCCACAGCGGTAAGCACACACTGAAACACACACACTCACAGGTCTCACACTGTGTTTTCTTGTTCTTGATCTCAGTTTTTGTGAGAATTAAGTACATTTCAATTATGAAGATGGTGCTGTTTTATATTTCCTTACCTTTGTTCCAGCTTTTTTTGTTCTGTATTGGCAGATTTATTCGTGGCAGTAAAATCAGATTTAAAAGAAAAATCCTAACCAAAACAAATTACATTTTCACCAAACAAAACATTACAAAGTCAATCCAGACTTTGATTGTGTAACTTTGTAGTTGCAACAATAAAGTTATACAAATAACTAATTCAAAGATCAACCCCGAACACGATTTAAGTCCTGCTGTTCACCGTGGCTACCTGCTGCTGTTATCACAACTGTAAGGAACTAGGGCCATGACTATGAAAACAGAACATGGGTATTAAAGCACTTGGATTTACGAGAACTTCCCATGAACCTTGGCAAAAGTACCAGATTTAGATGAGAGGTCTTCTATGTTTGTGTGCAGTCGTTGCCTGAACTGTTCATGGCTCTTGGTGTACGTATCACCAGTACAAACAGAACATACAGAACTCTACACAGCTGGAGCTATTTCTCAATCATCTCCTTTGCTTTCTATCCTTTAATGTTCATGTTTGCCTGTCTTTTCTACGACTCTGCAGTAGTGGAATGTAGATCCGCAATATCAACCCTGCTGCTCTGTGAAAAATGTCATCACCGAACACCAAAGCCAATCGAACTAAAGTCTCTCCCTCTCTCTCCTTCCTTTGATTCCCTTCATGCAGAGCGGTTGATGTCGGGCTCATGTGACTCAAAGTCCAGCGGGGACTCAAACTCCACCCTGCGCCGGGAGCTGAAGCAGTTCTTCGGCTGGGTGCGGAAACACGCCTACGGCTGCAGCAGCATGTCCATGAAGCTGTACGACCAGTGGAGAGTGCTGATGCAGAAATCCCACAAAACTCGCAACCAGGTAGGTAAGCATCACTTAATGGATCCTCAGAAGTAAAAAACTGTTTTGTATTTTAAAAGGGCTGACTTGTAACAGATTGTGTCTTCTTAATTTAGGTTCTCCAAGGGGATAAATCCTAGCACAGGCTGCCTTTACGGGCAGAAAAACAAGAAACGAACTGAACGAGTGTGTTTTTGTCTATGTGTGTGAGGAAGAGAGATTGTATTCGTATATGGGAATTATAAGACATTTGCTCTGGACATGTTGTGCAAATAACGGCCAGGAGAGGACATCAAATGAAAAAAACTGGGATTTTCTTCTTTATTTCATCTTTTCCAGTCAACATGAGCACTTTTTTGTCTGAAAATGTGGACTTGTTATGGACATCTTGGTTGCATCATTAGCAAGACACCATGTGGACTACTCTGCTTTCTCAAAGGACCACGCAACAGGAAAACTCACACATCCCTAAAGATGTTTGCCGCATATCTGCTCTAAATGTGCACAAAGGTCATCAAAACAGATTACAAGTGTTGTCCAAACAACTACAAGTATTCTGACCTTTTTTGTTTTACTTCACCTGTGGATCCAAAGCACCATCTAGTGGCTGATCAGCGTCTGTGGATTCTGCAAATCAAGGCGTTCACCGTGGTCCTGTTGGAAAAAGCAAAAGCAACTAATTATCATTCAGTATTTCTAAACCATGCTTTATAAGTGCCAAACTGGTTCACTCAGCATTCATGTGAGCAACAGTGTGACTGATGGTGTTTTTGTATGGAGACGTTTTACTGCCTTTATTTTTGTACTGAATTGTACCAGCATATTTAAAACTGTATAAAGTTATGTTTTATGTCTTAAGTTATGCTTAGTTAGTAAAAAAAAATATCATTGACTGAAGTTGTTTTCGATTTCCTACTGTTCTATAAAAATGTTGACAGAAACACACGGTTTGGAAATGAGTTGTGTGCACACTAAAGCGACACAATGATAAACGCACCTCTGCTACTGCTGTATGGATATATATATTTAATACCCGTATGTTCCCATTGCTCCAAAAGGTACGCCATGCTGCTCGACATTTTTACTGCTGCAGGGATTTCAGTCAGATTTCTGAAATGAAATATTTCCGAACAGCGATCTAGAAGACAAAAGGAAGATGAATATGGCATAACATTTTCTCTTTATTCCACCCTCTAAATAAGCAAAATGCTAAAAGAACCTGGGACTTAGATCAGTTGCTCCTTAAAGAAAAATATGCAACATATAGTCAGTAATTTTCTACATTATTTTTGAATAACTCTTTATCTATGGATTCTACATCCACCATCTTAACCCCGAAGACAAAGGGACACCCTTTAATTTGTGACTTAAATGTTTAGAAGTATTTAAACTGTGACTGGAACCAGATCTACTTCAAAGCACATTATAAGGAAGTAGGGTGAGTTCTGTCAGAAATCCTTACTTACCTAAAATACCAAATTTTTTAGGGATATATTGTGCAATATTTCAAATGGGTCGGATTAATCAAATTGTGATCACATTGAATTAAAGGTCCTGTAGTATGAGCCATTTAAAAATGGTATCCGGTACCACATGTGTTAATGAATCATGTCCAAGCTTACCATTATTTAGCAAGCTTAGAACAATGGAAAAGGGGTTGAAATTGAATTTCTTAGACTTGCAAAAAGTGTGAACATGTGCGTAGGTGGAAATGGGTAAAACAGCTTCAACACCTTATTACCATAAAGGAGCACAAACATAAAACTGCTGACCACATGGTGGAGCTATCTGCTCCTAAATATATAGTTATTCTTTGATGCAAAACAAACTTTCCAAATATTTTCATTGGACTGTGAATGCTCTCCTGCTAACAACAAGAACAACAGACAACCAGGAATGAAAACCTTGGAGAGGGCAACAAAAAGCTGACATCCATGACAAATACCTCCCCTAATGAATCCAGGCTGCATCTCAAACCAGTCCCACAACAATGATGGGATGATGTTTGCTGCACAGTCTCACTGTTTACTGGGGAAACCTAAGACAGCGGTTGTGTTTCCTGTCAGTGTTCATCTCCTGCTGGTGACACAGAAGAGTCTTATTACCGAGCCTGTGAGAGTCACTGGTGCTGAATATTTAACCAGTGCAGGTTTAACTTGGGCACTGCTCTGCTCTAAAGGCTTTAGTTACCTCTGTGTTCAGGGGAAGAATTAGTAGTATGGGATAGCAAGTAGTCGTTTTTCTAACTGCGTTTCTCATGCCGGAAAGCAAACATCTCTGTATTTGCCGAAAGTTATTTCTTCGCAGGACTTTTCTGCCACAGTTGACACTTTTCAGATGCTGCTATTTGTCAATCATCTTCCTTTCTGCTGCAAAATCCTTTTTAGGTCCAAAACTCATAGCCACAGAAATGTAGGCTTTTGAATGAATGTCTTTTAGTTTGAACGTTAGATTTTTACTCTATTTTCAAGGGCCTGGCTGAGACCTTCAATGGATTTAAAAGAAGTAAGCAATGCATTATCAATCATATTCAACAGATCAAACACATATTCGTATTAGTCTAACAAGGTCCTGCAATTTAAATTATACTAAGTAAAACTACAGAAGAATGATCAGATAATATCATTAACATATCAAAAGTCAAACTTTGCAGACAAATGGCAGGCTCATACTTTCTCATAATAAAGTGTTATTTGTTTAGTTAGTCCATATCGTATTTCTGTTTTTGTATTAAAATACTTAAAGCAATAAAAAGGCTTTTATATTTTCCGCTTGTAATACATATATGAAAGTGCTTTTTGGCATTATGCAGCAGTCCTCTCTCTGTATTTCTCTGTATCTCTTAATGGTTGCCTATCCAGTGCCTCAAGAGTTGTTTAAATTATTTAATCACCTGAAAACCCTCTTTGCCTCTGAATTCAAGTCCTGGAATGTATATATTAAGTATTAGTCAATGTATTGAACATACAAAACATACAACAATAATAATAATATATATATTTTTTTTCTCACTCATAATAATAATTATAACACAAAAAAAAAAAAAGTAATAATAATTCTCAAATAGTCTCTGTCATGTTCAACAGGGTAGTAAGTAATATTGAAGAGAAAGGTAGATGTTAGTGCTGATAAATGTTGGATTTTAGCTCTGCCTGATTAATCAGCCAATAGAAGAGAATAGGCACAAACATCCCTGGAGATAATTCAATACTAAAAAGCTTGTTTGTTTTCCTCCCTGGAAAAAGCCATTTGGCATGCAGTGACTACATTTACCAGCTATACCAGGCAATACATCTTTTAGAGATTTTGCACTGATCTAAAATAAAAAGCTGTCCAAATCGTAATGAAATCATCAGTGCATGGTTTACATTACAGCAGCGTTGAGCCTGTTAAATATCCTCCTGAAACACAAGATCAGAACAAGTCCTTTCATTTTTAATAGCATGTGCAGGGAGATGCTATTAGTTCCAGCATATATATCGTAGCTGAGCGGTTCATCACACTTACTGCGGGTCAGCTAGTAACCTAATGCTCATAATGGGATGACAAATGAACTTCATTGCAAGTGGCTGACATGACTGTCGATGCAGTGCTGTAAGACTTTTAACGGAGCATTTTAACTCTGAATTGAGCTTTACATGAATTGTTAAAGATCTCTATTTCTCCTCTTTAGGCCTTGACAAAGTCCACTTTTGGCCCTGGTTGTAGAAACATTTTGTCCTGAGGGGAACGAGGGGAAAAGGAGGTGGAGAGCACTTTGGGTGTAACCAGGGCTTCGATCAAGGTAGGGTTTCTTTCACCTCACAGTCATGTTTAATTCAGCCCAGGAGGCCGCAAATCACCCGAAGAAGAGAGACAGGCAGAAAAGGAAGTGCCTGAAGTCAGTGACAGAGGAACCAACGAGGAAGACAAGGGGACAAAGAAGAACAGGAGAAGAAGAAGAAGAAGAAATAAAGAGGCTGTCAGAGCATGCAGGAAGTGAAGAAACGTCCGATAATCTCTGCAAGAGAAAGAAGTCAGTGTGTGTGTGTGTGTGTGTGTGTGTGTGTGTGTGTGTGTGTGTGTGTGTGTGTGTGTGGCCTAGCATTACCATCCTTGTGAGGACCTAAATCTGTTTACACAGTCACGTGTGGGGACTGGCTTCCCTTATGGGGACAACATTGAGGTCCCCATAAGGGGAATCATTAATTTTAGGGTGAAGACTTGGTTAGGGTTAGGGTTAGGCATGTGTTGGTTATGGTTAAGGTTAGGATAAGTCTCCAGGAAATGCATGTAAGTCAATGTAATGTCCCCTGAAGTGATGTATACATGGTATGTGTGTGTGTGTGTGTGTGTGAGTGTGTGTGTGTGTGTGTGTGTGTGTGTGTGTGTGTGTGTGTGTGTGTGTGTGTGTGTGTGTGTGTGTGTGTGTGTGTGTGCATCCACATGGATTACATTAAAGCTGAGCTGGTTTTTGCTCTGAATTCTCTCACAGCGTTATACAGCCGTTGCTCCATACTTGTTTGAGGTGTCTACTTTGTTTAGAAATCATTCCCAAACATGCGGAGGAAGAACTTTAAAAAGCATGACCATAGAAAATAAGAGAAAGAGCTCCATATGGAAATCATCAGAGACAATTCAGACCGAGCCAAAAGAGCGGTGGGGGTGCCATACTGCTGCACAGAGCTGGGTCTGTTGCATCATTTTCATCACGGTCCTCCTCCTCCTCCTCCTCCTCCTCCTCCTCCTCCTCCTCCTCCTCCTCCTCCTCCTCCTCCTCCTCCTCCTCCTCTAGGCCCGGGTCCTGGACGCTACGCTCTGCCCCCGACGGTGGGATACATCAACCATGACTTCACCAAGCCCAGCAGCCCTGCATACTCCTTTCACAGCCGCATGAGCAGCGCCAGTGAGTTTTTAGATATTCATTTTCTGTCATATTGCTCTGAAGTGCACTAGTTTTTACTCCCATGGATCCTTAATGTCTCTTTTCTTCTATGCTTAATACCTGTCTGGAATAGTTTTTTCTTAATTTGACGAGGACTAAATAAGACTTTGGATGACCTTAAGTGCTCTGTTTCCTGCAGTGGTCTCTGTGGACTCCAGCCCAGGACCGAGGTACCACATTGACGCCAAGTTAACCCGCTTTGGCCGGATGGAAACCCCGTCCTACTCCATGCTTGGCAGGGGAAGGAGCACAGGGGATAATAAAGGTGAGAGAAGAAAAAAAAATGTTTGTGTCTAGGTTGATGTTAGCTATTATTCAACTATTCATGACATTCCCACTAATCAAACGCACTTCAATTTGTCCAACTTTTCCTACCTAGAAATAAACAAGAAAGTAGAAAATATATATTCAACATGAATATTTTCTACATTCTTGTTTATTTCTTGTCTTGAATTTTTATTGCACAATGCCATGTATTTTTATGCTGCTGCAACGCAAACATTTCCCAAATTGGGATCAATAAAGTACTATCTTATCTTATCTCTTACCTGTTCATCATCTTCTTAAACATTTTAGCCAGTAAGTCAGTGTGGCATCACCTTTTCAACATCCAGAATTCACACAAACATTTCTCAAGAAAACTACCTTTTCCCATGAACAATGGTTTAGTCTGTATGGACTCCATATATCAAATCAAATCAAGTTTTATTTATATAGGCCTAGCACATTTTTTAAATGATTTTTGGTCGAGCCAACGTGCTGTACATACAATACAAATACTTTACAATAAGGACACTTTACAACAAATACAACAGCACAGTTTGTGCAGAATATCAGTATGAGAAAACGACACCCTCCAAATATATACATTTGAACACTGGGTAAATCGTCCAGAAAGTAGTTTCATTTGTTACGTGTGTAATCATGTAAATTAGGTGTTTTTCTTTCAAACATCATACCAGGATTATGGAATGCTGTGATTTCTATGGACACTATAATTAAAATAAACAAAGAGAGGAACTTTTTCCAAACTGACTTTTATTCCTGTTTAAAGGCGAGGTGTTTCAGACTCCGGGGCCGGGGGCCTACAGCCCAGAGAAGGCTCTCCCTCTCAACTCTCACCTCAGACCCCCCTCCTTCACCATCGGCTCTCGCACCAGATACCGCTCTGTGGATCCTGTCCCGGCACCCAACAGGTGAAGACAGCAGGCATTTGAGGAAAGGCTGGGGGTGGGACATGATTGTGGTTCTCTGTGCTAAAGAACTCATGGGCATGGTAGTTTATTTTGAGTCAATCTCACATATATTGTCCCTGTAAACTATGGTTTGAACTCTCCACAAGTCCCTCTAGCGCCTGTTGGTAGAAATGATGGTGGAAGTAAAGGGGAAGGTCAGGAGAAGTAGTTTAGCGTAACCCTCGTGATGAAGTCTGGGACTACCCTGTACGATGCAAAAAAAAGGTTGGAGAGGCTGGACAAGAATGTGGGAGGAAGCCCATAAACAAATGAAGATTATTGTGATGCGATATAAGTATTTGTATCGTATCGTATCGTATTTTATCGTACTGTATCGTACTGTATCACATTGTATTGTATCACATAATATAATTGTGTCATTGGGAAACTCTGAGAGGAAGTAGATGTTTTATTAAACATCAGATTTTATATAAGTTATAGGTTTTTTATTTTATAACAGACAAATGTAAACTAGATCATGTTCAACATCCACCAAAGCACAGAAGGAATAACCTTGTACCTTAAAACATTCTGCTAAAGAGTTTCCCAAAGTGATTAAGGAGCAAGTGAGAATGCGTCAACAACAAATGCCCCACTGTATGAGAAACATCTGCTCAGAATTACAATGCAAAGGTTGCCAAATATCTGTTGTTTTTAAAGACCGTCTTCAGAAGGAACGAACGAGCTTAGCTTTAGATTTTGAAGGTATTGAGATACAGAATATTGCAAGCCTTATCATTTAAATCAGAGATAGCTGAAATGAGAACTCTCTGAAGCACAACATTAATATGTGTCGTTTTTCCTTCACTCCAGCTACAGACTCCCTAATCTGCTCGGCAGCCAGGTCCCTAATAAACCATCGAGTGCCAGCTACAGCTTCTCAGGCCGGAGGAAGGTGGGAGCTCCGTCTGAAGACCTCTCCAAGAGCCCTGGACCGGCCAAATACGACACCACCAACCCCGACATCTACCACCAGCGCCAGCCCTCCTTCTCCATGCAGAAACGGACTAAGAGACCCAGTTATTTCTCGGCTATCCCCGGCCCCGGCACTTACAGCCCGGAAAAGTTTCATGTGCACCTCCCTAAACCCCCCTCCTTCTCTATGGGTGTCAGACACTCAGAGTTCGTCACCCCACTCGTGGTGCAAGTCATCGACTGACAGGATTCAATATGAATGCGTTGATTTTATTATATTTTTCATACAAATGTGGAGCTGTCATGTAAGGACTAAAATATATAAATAAATCATATTAAATAATGCATAAAAGTTGAATGTAAAAAACTTATTAACCAATTATCAGAAAGTGTTACAGTATCAGTTGTTCAAAGGGAAACATCTCAAACCAACAGTATTACAAATATATATAAAAAAATAACATTTCAAATGGAAAGTATGTCCATTTATTCATTTATAAATAAAACAAAATATAAATAACTTTTGAATTTGCATTGGATGCACCCTGTCTAGAGTTTGTCAGCTTAACTTCACTCATAGCTTGAAAGGAGAGTGTTTAACAGAACAGGAAGTGAGAAGGAGTCTCTATTATCTAGTTCTTGGTATGGCGATCTTTACAGGTGAGCTCCAGTCGCTGCACTCGCCCAGATTGAGCAGCTCTTTGGCACACACCTGGAACAGGTAGGCTCCAGGTTTCAGCTTCAGCACCACCCAGTTGCTCTCAATCGGACCCAGCTGGAGGAGGAAATTAAAGATATATTACTATAAAATAATCTGTGTTAAATGCATAGTGTTTTAAAAATACGACACAATGCCTCTTTTTAAATAAACTGGCTACGGTCTTGACATCTTTAAGATACAAAATAATTTGCTGAGAGTTATACATCGGGTAAGATAATACTCTGTCCTTTAAATAAGAAGCTACAGCCTTGGTTAGCTTAGCTTACGCATAAAGAAAAAAAACTTGGTTTTAACCATTGGACCATTTCTGAAAATCACTAGTTAACACGAACATGAATAAGTGTTTTTCCCAAATAGGGAAACTAATCCTTGACTATTTGAGTATACTACATCATTCTAACAAGGAGAAAAATGTATTTTAATCAGCATTTCTCATTCAAATGTAATTGATCAATCACAGTTCTTAACACTATTAAAATAATTACTTTATTTTAATGTCTACTGAAAAGCTATTACCTCACTATTAAACAGTTTACATTTAAACACATTACAGCTTAGTTGAAATGAGAAGGATTCACAGACGAAGGGACTTTCTGAAACCGTGTTGAGGTTACCTAAAAAAACCTTATTGAACTTCCTTGTGGTTGTGTGTGTAATAATGTAGAGTTTCACACTTCTGCTGTTACTGCTGATGATGGTTTTTCTTACATTGTACGACCGTGGGATGCCCCTGCTTTCCCGCTGGTACTTGATCTGGTATTTCAGAGGGAAGATGTCCAGGTGAGACCAGGTAGGGGGAGGAGACCACTGCACCAACAAGCGTTTGGAGTCACGAGGGGAAACCGTGACGTCTACAGGGGGGTCCGGTTTCACTGAGAGAACGAGACTTGAACATTAACCACAAGTGTCTTCACAATATGCACATCAAGCTATATTGAGTATCACACGACGGTGCACTCATCACTCTCCCTACTCTCTTTTAGATCGGATTATTAATCATGTCAGTTGTCACCTATATCCTCCAACATGAAGCTTGAAAGATGGAAGCTGCTGCTCCCAGAATACACTGCGGTGACGTTGATGATGTAGTCAGTGAGCAGCTTCAGGCTGGGCATGTGGCAGTGCCAGAGCTAAAACATATAAATAAAAAACACAAGATTATAAATCATGAGGTTATATATTATTTAGTTTTGTTATTTCTATGTTTCAATTTCAAAACGTTAGTCATTTTTGCACACTGACAGCTTATTTTTGTATCATTTAAAAATGTAATGGTAAAAACATACGATAACATTTACTGTAGATTCGTGCATGAAAGGATTTAGATATTGAAAATAATTCCCACAACAAAAAATGCGTGATTTCCAGAAACCACTACCAACTATTTCCCCCCTAATGACATCATTTTCACCTCAGACTCACAAGACAAACTTGAAACTAGTGAGTTACAGCTTCTGTGTAGCAGAAAGGTGAGAGGGGTTTTCCAAAAAACACTTTGACAAGTAAGGACATGGAAGTAAAAGTGTCTGGATCAACATTACAGTAACATTTCTACTATAAGCATTGATGGATGATTGTTTCACTCTGACTAAAATCAGGCTTTTGGAAACCCCCTTTTCAGTGTATCTGCTGCAAAGGTAAATAAATAAAGCTGGTACCCGATCAGATGAGGATGACGATGCTGAAATCACATCAGAGGACGAAGAGCCGGGTTGGACGAGATGGCAGTGCTTGGTGACCGACTGTCTGTGTCTCTCACTGGCAAACACATTAACACACATATTAATGAGCTCCTCAGCGACACTTAACGACAGGAGTCTGTTTTACTAAAAGGTGTCAGTGATGCAGGTCAGCACACAGGAGCAGAGCAGTGAGATCTACCTGTAGGTGGCAACGTAGTGAGTTGGTGGGTGATGGGGGGGTTCAGGCCAGGAGCAAAGAGTCACGTTGGGGTAGCTCGCACACCGGCAGCGCACTGTGGGAGTGGAGGGAGAATCTGAGAACAAAAGTCATAAAATGAGCAAACAATTATTTATTTATGTCCTTCTTAAGGTTGTGTTTTAAGAGCACACCTTTGCCCCCTTTTCTTTGTTAGTTTGTTAGTCATTTAAAAGGTTAAAGCAATTAAATGATAAATAAAATGTGTTGCAGGGTTGGAAATATGGTAATAAAAGGTAAACAAAAATCCCATTAAGGCTCACAAAATGACTATATCCATTCACTGCATGTAGAAAAATACATGTTCAGTGCAACATAGCAGCAACAAAGCTCTTAGTAAAAGTAACAACAAAAGGGTAATTATGCTTTCTGTTTTACGACTCCTGATTAAATGACATGTGTTGAAAGCACCACCAAGTAAATAACAAGAGGCATGTTACTGATACTCACTCCCTGATGTTGTAGTCCCCATCAGCAGGTCCAGTGCTTGGCCTCCAAGAACACACACGAGCAGAACCACAGTGACACACACTCTGCCAGCAATCGCAGCCATTAGTGCTTCCGGCGGAAAACAATATTACTGAGTGAAAAAGCTTTCTAAATGGAGCAGTGAACCCTCGTTTGCAAGATATCGCCGACGCCTACTCTCTTCTGTTATTTATTTGCTCTGCTCAGGTATATAATTCTGCACGTCAAAGTTCAGAGATAAAGAAGTGCTGCTGCTGCTGCCGACTCCCGTCTGTGTGTTTGAGCAGCGGCGTATCAGGACTATAAAGCCGTCGTAAAAGTGAAAGAGGAACATCGATTGTGGTGAATTGTAGGAAAAAGCAATTGGAGAAATAAGTGTTTCGTCTCTAATAATGACTCAGGTTTCCTTACGTCATACACAACACATTTCTTAAGTCATACCTGCTTTAATGTTGTTTTACAAAGAAGAACATAATTATGTACAAATAACTCACATGGCACATTTGGTTTACAAAGGAAAAAATGCACTAGTGTGTTCAGTAGTTGGAAAGTGTTCAACACATATAGAGAATGTCTTTGACAGCACCTGCATGTGCTTTCAGATACTCCTTCATGCTTTACACTGCCCTATAGTACTACACAACAGCAGCTACACACTGACCACATATTGCACATCACATTGTGAATAAATACTCTGAGGTCTGATCCTTCAATTGTTTCCAGTCTGCAAATTCACAGTCCAAGCTTTTAAAGATGTTCTTGTTTGTTTCTGTGAGGCCACGACAGCTTCTTGGCGCTCCACTCAGACAGGGAGCCTCTGCGGAGCTTCCACACCACTGAGGGAGCTCCTTCTCTGGGTAAGCTGATGCTTTGAAGCCCCCCTGCGCTGGGGGTCCGCAGGGAGGTGAAGGCCTTGCTGATCCAGCTGTTCTTCGCTTCCTGGAGATCGTTGGCCAGGATTCCCTTCTGGTGCTCCAGCTCCTGCACGAGGATGAAAGAGGAGAATGTGAGAAATGCAGCGCAAAAAAATAAATCACAAATACATTTTTGTGCAACAATACTGTTTAATTTCTTGTATTTCTCTCTATTTCTCTTAAGTTTTGAATACAAATTACACTTCATTGTAGGCTACTAAATTGATTGAATGTGTTCGATAATGGTACACTACTTTGTCTTGTCTTTAGTGCTTTTAATAAAATAAGTTAATTTCCAATGTATGTTTTAGTATTATATAATAAACCATTACTCAATGTTAAAATCTGTTTTAATTGTGCATTATTTAGACCGACCAAAAACATTTATTTGTATTTGGTGAAGGAACAACGACACACAACATGCAGTTTTAGTAATGTAAAACAGATGTTTTTATGTATTGAAATGGCCACAAGTAATAATGAGCAATTGTGCTGACCACTTCCCTTGCCCCAACATGGGATGAAAGTGCCCATCATATATTTGCAGGAATCTCTGCCTAACCCTATATTCTGTATTTATTTGGAAATGGGTATGCCTCACATTGATGTCCCATTGATGTCAGGCATACCAAAGTATTTTCTGTTGCAAACCTTAATGATGATGATCCCTATTTATTGAGCAATTTGTTTTTGTTGGTGTTTTTGTTTTGTTCAGACATTAAATATGTTCCTTGAAGTTTCATTCACAGTTTTTTAGATGCCAATGCATGGTAGACTGTAGTGATGTGACCTGGATTTGGCTTGCTTAGATTCACCAGATGTGTTTGTGTGTATTTATAGCTGCTGTGTGATGGTTTGATGGTCTGCTCTGACCTGGATCTTGCACTTGGACTCCACCATATGGACTTTGGTCTTGACCAACTCCTGCTCCAGCTCCTTGACTTCGGCCCCGAGGGACTCCTTCTCCTTTTCCACCCTCCTCTGCTCTTCCTTTTTAGGACTTGTGTCGTCCTCTTCCTGGCCTGGTTTAGTATTCCCGTGGCTTTCAATCGCTGCTTCAGTGGAAGATGCTGCTTCTGATTCTACGAGGTGTCGACAGCATGAGCAAGCCTTCACTGCACTCTGCAAAGATGGAGAAGAATAGGCATGATGTGAAGTGTCCAGACTTATCTACCACACATACGATGAAAACCAAATAAGAAAGTGAAGAAGAGGGTAGTAAAATGAATTCTTACAACATGTTTAAGTGGAAGCATGACAGAGGAAAAGGTGGTTTAAAAGTAGGAAGCATGACAGCAGTTTTATTCTCACCTTGAGTGAGTCTAACTCTTCTCTGTGGGCGGCCTGCTGCCTCTCCAGACGGCTTGTCAGCTGAGAGCAGATCTGAGCAGAAAAGAGGATCAACAACATTAGGCAGCACTCTTTATTAATATATCCTCTTGTGAGGTATCTCATAAACTTTGTTCCCTGAGTGTGCCTCTCCACCTATGTTTCTTACTCTCTTACTTGCTACCCTTTGCCCTCAACCTATTCTAAGGGAGTGCTTGTTCTTCCGTCCGTCTGTCTGTGTCTGTGTATTCTCTTGTTCCGATTAACCCAGCCACATTTGTTCTTGTTTTGTGTCTATATCTACGCCGGAATCCGGAGTCGAGGCTGATCTTCTTGCTGTGGTCCTGGATCCTCTATCCTGAGTTCTGGATTAAGTCGTGGACTTCGGGTCGTGGCTGAACCTGTCTCTGCGGTCCTGCCTTGGGTCTCGTCTTGCTGCCTCCCTGAAGGCTCCCACAGGATTGTAGCTGACATCCTCGTGGATTCATCTTCTTATTACAGACACATGCATTTCCTAACATTTGGACTACCTATGCTGTAAAATGTATTATCTCTTCGATTTACACACGGCATCTATTGCACGTCTGTCCGTCCTGGGAGAGGGATCCCTCCTCTGTTGCTCTCCCTGAGGTTTCTCCCATTTGTTCCCTCTAAACTGTGGGTTTTCTCCAGAAGTTTTTCCTTGTACGATGTGAGGGTCTAAGGATAGAGGGTGTCGTTTTTTCTCATACTGATATTCTGAACAATCTGTGCTGTTGTATTAGCTGTAAAGTGTCTCTACTGTAGGCTATTTTTATTATATGTACAGCACTTTGGCTCGACCAAAAATCGTTTATAAATGTGCTATATAAATAAAACTTGATTTGATTTGAACAGCCTCATTTTTCTGATTCTCTCTACCTGTTTGTAGTCCGCAATGACACCAGACGACCTTCTGACTTCCTGCTCAGTCTTCTGCAGCTCTCTTCTAAACACTTTCTTCGCCTGTAAGAAGAGAAGAAATCCTTTACTCATGCATGTCAAGCATAGCATCAACCTTGTAAGGACTCTGTGATGTTATAAAGAGGCGTACCACTTCAGCTTCCTCCTCTGTCCCTCTCTTCTCCTCTTCTGTCGCCTGCAGATGGCGTCTGGTCTGAAGAAGGTCTTTGGTGAGTTCGTCCACTCGGTCCTCCGCCTGCAAATTAACATTATTCTGGTCAGCAGCAAAGACTCTCTGTCGGAAATAACATCATTGTGTTGTATGAAATCATTTTCGATATAGAGTGTCAAAAGAGATGCAGGCTTCATCCATAATGCTTATCCTATGCAATTACGGAACGAAAATAGAAATGCAATTTAAAAACTACAGTACAATTAGATTATCAGGCCTTAAGGTTTTCAACAAAAACAATACATTTCTCTATTGAAAAGACTGCCCTTGCATGGTTCAGGTCCTACCTGACACACCGTAGCTTCTCAGTGCAGCTAGGTACCTTCTCCTCTGCTAAAGCCCCTCTTACCTGTGGGGTTCCCCAAGGCTCGATTCTGGGCCCCATCCTTTTTCTACTGTACATACTGCCCCTAGGTTCAATTCTCACAAAACACAACATCCCCTTCCATTGTTACGCCGATGATGTACAGATCTATCTGACTCTCAATTCAAATGTCAACTCATTACAGCTGTTGATGGACTGCTTAACAGAGATCAAATCCTGGCTGAGCCAAAATGTTCTCAACCTCAACGAGAGCAAGACCGAGGTCATCTTTTTTGGACCCCAACCTCCAGCCTCTCCGGTTGATATTCTGGGCTCTCTCAATGAAAACATCCTCCCCTCTGTCATGAACCTTGGAGTGACCTTCACTAGCACTTTTAAATTTGATAAGCAGGTCAGCACCGTAGTCAAGACCTGCTTTTTTTAAATACGACTATTGGCCAAGACCAAGTCGTGTTTATCTTTTAAAGACCTAGAAAGGGCTATTAAGGCCTTTGTTACCTCGAGACTGGATTACTGCAACGCTCTGTATGTGGGTATGGACCAGGCGTCAATTAGACGCCTGCAGCTAGTGCAGAACGCAGCTGCACGTCTTCTGACAGGTCACAAAAAGTGTGACCACATCACCCCAATTCTGGCCTCGCTGCACTGGCTTCCAATTCGGTTCCGAATTGATTTTAAACTCCTTTTATTTGTTTTTGAAGCACTAAATGGGCTGGCTCCGGGTCTATATAGCAGAACTCCTCCACCCAGCCAGAGCATTAAGGTTGGCTGACCAGCTGCTGCTGGTAGTGCCCAAGACCAGGCTCAAAACCAGAGGGCACCGAGCCTTCGCAGCAGCTGGCCCCAGGCTCTGGAACACTCTGCCCCTCCATGTGAGGTCGGCCCAGACCCCAGGGGTTTTTAAATCTACACTTAAGACTCACTTCTTCTCTCTGGCCTTCTAGTCAGAGCGGAGCACGACTCCTGACATTTCCCTGTGTGTGATTTTTATTTTTGCTGTTGTAATTTGTTGTCTTCTGTTTGCTATCGTAGTAACGTGTTTTTATTGCATGTACAGCACTTTGGCTCGACCAAAAATCGTTTTTAAAAATGTGTTATATAAATAAAACTTGATTCGATTTAAAAATGTAGCCGTCATTAAATCCTGTGCATATTCCACAAAGTCTGGAGATCACTGATGACAAAATAAAATGAAAGGATTAAAAGGACATTAAAAGGACAGCAGTTAAAATCCAAAGTCAAATCCATGGAACAGATATTCATGTTCAGAACATTTTCACAAGACAACTTACGAACCCTCCTTTACGATAATAAATATACGATAATTAAATAAATCGTCCATCTTGTACTTTTTCTCTCCAGGCTTTTGTGACATACTGTATTGAGAAGACTTAAGCAAATGAAACTAACATTGCAATTGTTAAATGTTCATATTAGACCATTTCAGGGTTTTAAAGAACCATTTCATGAAGAATAAGCAATAAGTAAACAATCTTGAAATCATATCTCTGGATAAAATGCCGGCATGCTTGGTACTGCTGGCCTGTTATTTGGAGACGGGTTAACATTTTGAGCATAAATACGACTGCAGACTGAATTGCTCCTAATGCAGGAATTTATTATTAAGGTAACATTCTGGCTGTCTCCTGAGAGGCTGAGCTGACTTTCAGGAGGTTATAATGCATTTTTAAAGTAAACCCTTTTACCCTTTTGGTGAAGGGAAATGTCTTATCGTACCTGGTCCAGAGCGTTCTTCAAGGCGATCTTGCTGGTGATCAGTCTGTGAGCGAGGCTGTCATTCTCCTGCTCCAGACGGAGGCTCGTTTGCTGCAACACATAGTTCTCCTTCTGCAAAAACACAGGAAAATCCATCGGGGATAAACAGAATGTCAACATTTTTATCACTGGAATGACTTTAATGTATCTGTTTGTGGTGAGAGTGAAGGATTTCTGACCAGGTATTTGTCGAAAGGCTCTTCATCATCCATCAGTTGAAGCCGGCTCTCTTTCGGTTTGGCTTTCTTTGAGGGAACCTGAGGGGAGAGAGAATGAAGGCTGATGAAACACAGCAAAGTCATATTTGAGTGAGCTGGAGAAAGCTATCTCCTTCAAACAGATCTGCTGTCGGATGCTGAGCGTGACAAATCGTGGAACAGGCCCCCAAAACAAAAATAGATCAAGATAGGGATAAGTGCGAGTTAAGATAGAGCACATGGGGGAGGGATCATTTAGGAACATAAAGGAGTATTAGGAGGGGGAGATTTATTATGAGCCTGACAATTGACAATTTCCATATCTCAAATATCAAAAATGAACAGTCAGGCTTCATTTCCTTCTATCTACAATAACACATCTGTCATGCAGTGAAATGGGTTTTGTGTTACAGTGTATTGGATCTGTAAGAAATGTTATAAATGGTGGAGCAGCAGGGTGCATCATTTAAAAATTAGTCTTACTCTCATTTTGACTTTGAAAGTTCTTCATAGTTCCAAAAAGCAAATAAGTCTGCATTTTTTTTTGGTGAATTGCCTTAATGCCAAAGAGTGTCATTTGCCAATACATTTGCCAATTGCTTAACGGTTAGATGTGGTGATCTCAAAAGTGACTGTAAGTAAGTCTTACTGTGAATGTTGGTCCAGTTTCTTCCACCAGGCAGGCCAGGATCTCCTCTTCACTCAGCTGCTCCATAGTGTCTGCATCGTATGCCATCGTCATGGACACCTCTTCCATCATGTTGCCTCAATGTGCAGGCGCCGCTAACACTCAGTGACAATCACAGCCTTCACAGGTAAAGGGCTTTCAATCACAATTTAAAAACAAATTGAAAATCCAGCTTTATCTCATGTGTGAATCAGAGATGTAGAGTGAGTTCAGGAACATGGAGTTGTGTTGTTTTTGCTCGCTGTGATGCAGGCCATCCAGCATGTGAGCATGACCAGGAAATAATCAGGATAAAGTCCAAGTCTTCCAGACACAAATAAACTCTGTTAACAGTCCAAAGGTGAAGAATGGTGACAGAGATACTCCCACAGGTAAAGTGTAGCTACAGACAAGCACCTAATACTGAGCAGTCAGAGCCACCTACAGCAGGTGAAGAAGTGTGTGTTACAGGTGTATGGGCAGTAACAGGTTAAACAGGGTTTATATAAGACCTGTGTGTGTGTGTGTGTGTGTGTGTGTGTGTGTGTGTGTGTGTGTGTGTGTGTGTGTGTGTGTGTGTGTGTGAATGAAGGACACACCCACAGTGCTCACCTTTCTTATTATACCTCTCCCTCTTTCTCACACACACACACACACATGATCCTGACCTCTCAAATGATTTATTTGGCAATGATGAGCTCCCACAATACAAATATTTTGTCATAGTCCACACTCTTCATACTAGCTGGCTCAGAGGCTGTATGAAACTGCCGGGTAAACACTTCTGGAGTTTAATGACGGAGTTAATCATGTGGTATTTGTGACATTTCACCCTGAGGTGTTGGCACGACACAAAGCTGACGGTCTATTATTATCATGAGCTGAGCAGCAGAACAAACGGGTCCAGCAGGTAAAGTGATGAAATACCAGCACATGAATGCAGAATAACTAAGAGGATCCCCTCCATATCTTAGTTTTACTTTCACAGGTTCTTCTTATTTCTCCCTGAAATCTCCCACTAATTCCCCCTGATGACAGATCAGTTTCACTTCTTTCCAAGTTATACACTTCCCTTTCTTCGAGCGTGTAGCTACTTTTCACTTCCGTCTTAGAATTTTACTCAAGTGTTGTTCCCTTGTGGTTTTTCAACACTTCCTGCTACATCTGAGGTGTTTTTTCTTTCTTATTTCTAACCAGAAACTGGGATTTCAACATCCCGTGCATCTATTGTCTGAGTCACTGTGGGCAAAGACCAAACAGAAAAAAAGTCCAGGCAGATATAAACATTTATTCCCCATTAAAAAAAAGGAACATCTTGTGAAACGTGGTGGATTTTGTATCAGGGAATACCAAAACTTGTTCTAGTTTCATAGAGAAAAATCTGAAAAATACAATTTTCAACAGTCAGACAAAGAAAAGGGAAAATCTAAATAACACTTTAGTTCTGATACAGCAACGGTGGTCTCAGTGGTAGTCACACAACTAAACCCCCTTTATCAAGATATGGGGACCACATTTGTTGAGTGAGTATATTTGTTAAGTGGCAGTGAACACCAATGCTGGGTGGACGTCTAAATTAACAGAAAAGTATTTTTACATATACTTTATATCTATATAATTTCGCACAAACCTCTGAATAACAAGGTAAAGTGAGGTGAGGAAAGTAAGGAGATGTGGTAACAAAGCTCGCAGCTCAGTGAAACAATGTGGTGTTAGAAAATACAGATTAAATATATTTTATACATTTCTAACTAATAATCTGTTAAATACCATTGTATTTTTTTAAACAATTCACCACATTTTAATTAATTTGAAGTCCATTCTCTTCTCGTGTAATTTCTGTCTTGTACTGAGACATTAATAGAGAAAAATCAAGATGGCAGAATAACTAAAAAGCATGGAAAACTCACATTTGGTACGAACTCACTAAAACACACTCGAGCCCTGACGTTGCTCACAAACACTACAACACTCCTTAAAAATATATAGATTCAGGCATATACTGTGGAATAACACTGCATATTGTTACTGTACGGTATAGCAGATATAATGGCTTATAAGATACAAAACTTAAGCTTCAAGATCAACAAAGCATAGTACACGATCCTCTCTGCCTACAACACCTCTAACATCTGATCCTTTTGTTTGTCTCAATGTAAACATGAAAAAGGTTAAATACATCGACTTTAATGGAAGACACTGCAGAACCCTTTTAGCAGTCTGGTTTCATTAACCAGGAGTGAAAACACAAGCTAACTGAATTCATACTTTTCTAGTTTCTCCTTCACTTTCCATGTGTTTCCTCTGGAGATAAACAACACTTAGGCTCCATGAGTAGTTTCTGTGGTTGGCAAACAACAACACCCAATAGAAAAACTCTTAGCCCTCATGTACAGTAGGGAGGGGGTTCTCATATTAGCATTGACCCTCTCGGTTAACACCGGCACGGGGAGAGGGGAACAATGCAGGGGAGAATAACAGAAACTAACAAGGCAGGGGTCCTTCTCTGTGTAATGTTATCACATGTAGTTAGACTGTGAAGACCCAGCAGACTGCAGCTAACTCCTATAAATCTCCATTTATATTAAAAACTATGGCTGGCTCTAAACAATAACAAATACAAATGACAGTCTGTGGCTAATTCAAGCCACCTTGGCTATTGACTTATAATGCTATCAGTGTGTGAGAAGTTTGTCATTCTGTTAACTGATAATCAATCAATGATTGAGACAGTTTGATGTCAGGGGAACAGGGTCACCTTTTCTATGTTCCTACCTGATGAAGGTATTTGTAAGCTTTTTAACAGACATGGGCTAAACTATCTTTTGAAATGTTTAAAAGTTTATCAAAATAAAATCAGGCCTTAAGCAGCATGCTTCTGAATCATTTGTTAATAATAGCAATTAGAGCAGGAGCAGTAAATTCCACTTCCTTAATAAGGATTTCCTGTCTAAGTATCCCAAAAGATCCATATTATTTGGTGTTGATTTTTTGTTAAATTGTTTGGTTGTTGTTAGTCACCGTGTTCAACTTCACTTTTTACACAAATTAATTGATCATAATTTATAACGAGCATAAATGAGAAGTTTTTTTAGTAGTAAAACAGCTGAACATGAATAAAAGTGTGAACAGGCATCAACAAATGTATCATACTCTGTATTAAGAATGAAGTTACTAATAATAAATAGACAATTTATATTTACTTGCATTTTCACTTTCAAGGTTATTCCCTCCGTTTTCTTTGATAACTACTAAATTAGATCCAGAAACATTTACTTTGGACATCATTGATTTGTTCATCCCAATCATATGGTGCAAAAGTGCAAATTAATTTACATGTTTTTTTGTGTGGAGAGTGTGCAATTTTGAAATGTTAAAATTGTAATCATAAGTCAGTAACATGGCTTAGGGGAATTGCATCCATAGCACCTACATATGAACATTGACTTGCCTGTGGGGCCCATTGTGTGTTCCCACTAAACTCTATGCATGGTCACACATGTCCCTGACCAGCTTCAAAAGCGTCTTAAATGACGCATCAATCCATGTACCTTTACACTTACATTGACATTTTATTAATGCGTGTAATTTGGCCTTGTGTGAAACAAAATGAGGTTTTACTAAAGTAATGTACCACTTCCCTGCTGACCTATCTCTGGTTTATACTGCTTACTGAAACTCCCCATGGGCGTTTTACCTCTCTGTCAGTGGACTCAGTTTATGGGTCACCCCCATGGAGGAAATCTGTGGCAGAAGTGAGCATGTGAAGTAATGTTTGTCATTGTGCTGCATCAAAACCCTCCACAATCCATCCGAGAAAGGGTTTCTATGTAAGTGTACGTTTATAAAGCAGCAGAGGTCAGACATCGGTGCTGTAGGAGCGTGGAGGTGGTGGGGGGGGAGGAAACTCGTCCGTGGGACTGTAATAGCTCACAGGCGAGGAGCCCTGTGGGTGGGCGGTCAGCGGCAGAGAAACAGACGGGTTCTCGTAGTACGTGTGGAAGCCCAGACGCTCCCCGCCGTTACGCAGGCTGTTAGAGAGTCCAGAGCGCAGGGTGTAGGGGGAACAGGTGGGGCAGTGGTTGTGGTGAGTTCCCGTCTCCAGCTGATCCAGAGACACCGGGGTGATGGCGGCCCCGTCCATGGCGAGGGCGTTGCAGGCATTGCAGGGGAAATGAGAGAGAGGGTCCGCTCCCACCACAGAGCCCACGTCCACCTCAGAACCATTCTTCTTACAGCAGTAATACTGCAGAGGAGAGAGGAGGATTAAGGCTGGAATCCCTGCTGTGTTCCTCAACACATTTCTCATGACAAAATGCTGACCACATTATTTAAAGGTCATCTGTGGATAAAGATTTATACTGAACAGTCCTGCTTTTAAATGACTAAAGCACACACACACGCAGGGATACCTGGAGTCTACAGTAACAGAGCACTGCTACGATGCACAGCAGTATCACTCCGGCGAGAATTCCTCCGGATATAACGATAGTTCCCGCTGACATTCGACCAGCTCTCCATCAAACCCTTCAGAGGAAAGCAGTACAAGGTGGGAGATGTTAGGGGGGAAATAAATGTGAATCAGCTTATTAGACTTCAGGATTTTGATGGTGCAGGTAGAGATTCAACTCAATTTTACTGCAGAATAATCTACAAACAACAGGTTTCTATAATGCCCACAAAGATATACCCATGTAGGCGGAATAAGTCTGATGTAACCTCCTCTGATGAAACATGTTGGAAGTACAGTAGATGGTTATCATGCAGCAGTTATCAGCCGGCTCAAGGCCTCGGGATGGATGATAAATGAAAGTGGAAAACAACCGTGAACCTACAAAACAGCTTCAGTGATCTCTGACACAGTCTGTGAAACTCTCCCCCACCCATCCATGATGTGGTGTTTTCATGATGACAGAGTGATATGATGGGGTGGCGCAACCATTTCTATTATCATATCATCCAATCATGATTATGCAAGATTGCTGATAGACGGCTTGGCTCAGCGTTTGAGAAATCCTAGAACAATAAACGTAGCATCCTGCAAGCAAATCAGCTCAAGATACAAAAATGTATATTAAAGAGAACATGTTAGGCTCATATTTGTATGTTGTGACTCTGCTATGATATTTCTACATGCTTTATTTTTCTCATACCTCTGTCTGAAACCAGAGCCAAGTCTGCTCTGATTGGTTAGCTGGCCGGTGGTTTCTTTAAACCACACCCTTATTCTTATCCTTATGGCTAACATATGTTGTTTGTATTACATGAGCTTAGTGTAAGAGCCATTTGACACATAGTAGTATCAGTAACAGCTGATCTCGATGATATAAGACGCACACTTACATTAGAAGACAGCGGGAGGTGCAGAGACGGAGGAGTGTGAGAAGATAGGAAACCATGTCAGCCTGAGCGGTGTTCCTCTCATAACATCCTCTCACTGGAACTCCTGCAGGAAAAGAAGAAGCTTCTGTCAAGAGAGAAGTAAAGAAGTAAAGTCAACTTCATTGTCAACCTTTCAGTTTGTGTGTACAGGCAGAGAGATCAAAATACTGTTTCCCACAATCCTGAATACAAAAATACAAATATGTATACAAATATGTATATCCTATAGATACACAATAAGCAGACACATGTATCCATATGCACACATTAAGACATACATACAAGCACAACAATTAATATATACAAAATAACAGTCACTTCAATATCTTTGGTTTAAAGGGCTGCTGATTATTTTCATACACACAAATCATTCCTTTACAGAAACGGTACTATCCCTTGTATTTGATTGATTGATTGATTTATTGATCTGATTTTCATTTCAGCTAAAACACTCATATAAAAAGTGAAGAATAACCAGTGATTCAATCCATTGACTGTCAGCTTTAATGAAGAGACATACTTCAAACTGCTTTTGATCAATGGTCTTAAATCCCAGAAGCATTCCATTTGCTAGGATATATGAAAGAGCTGAGCAGGATTCTCACGCTTAAGAAGCTGGAACCATACTAATAACCTCATAAAATGTTACATCCACAGTTTCATACGGTATGGAATCTGGTAATACAACTAAATCGATCCATATAGGCATCAATTATACATCGTAAATTCACTACAAGAATCTTAAAAGCAGCTGCAAAGTGTGACTAAATTCCATTTTGGATGGCAAACAGACTGTCAGGACGTGGATGGATTAACATGCTGAATGCAGCAGCAGCAGCTACTGTGCACACTCGCCATATGGCCGGTATAATGTGTGCATATGTGCAGCGCATATTCAGCATACTGAATCTGGTTAGTACGTGCATCTGCTGCCGGTTGACTGTGACAGTTTCAAAAGCAGCTTTCAAAGTTAAATGGATAATTATCATCACTTGATCTCTTGGATTCGATACGGATAGGGCAATTAAACAAAACAGTAAAGATGGGTTTACTCAAAACGTACATGCAACTTGTGATGAGTAGTGAGAACATAATGTGCTCCCTATCTCTGTTTCTTAACCTATATCTAATAGAACTGCTCGGGTCTTGATAGATTGAGTGGGGAAGTTCATGAGATCTTTCTAGAGGGTTATCAAGAATAACTTTTATCCAGTGACCTTTTCCCTCTCTGTCTGTGTCTGTGTATTCTCTTGTTCCGATTAACCCAGCCAAATCTTTTTTCTTGTTTTCTATCTATATCTACGCCGGGATCCGGAGTCGAGGCTGATCCTCTTGCTGTAGTCCTGTGTCCTGGATCCTCCATCCTGAGTTCTGGATTAAGTCGTGGACTTCGGGTCGTGGCTGAACCTGTCTCTGCGGTCCTGCCTTGGGTCTCGTCATGCTGCTTCCCTGATGGCTTCCACAGGATTGTAGCTGACATCCTCGTGGATTCATCTTCTTATTACAGACACATGCATTTCCTAACATTCGGTCTATATGCTGTAAAATGTATTATCTCTTCGATTTACACACAGCATCTATTGCACGCCTGTCCGTCCTGGGAGAGGGATCCCTCCTCTGTTGCTCTCCCTGAGGTTTCTCCCATTTTCCCCTTAAACTGTGGGTTTTCTCTGGAAGTTTTTCCTTGTACGATGTGAGGGTCTAAGGATAGAGGGTGTCGTTTTTCTCATACTGATATTCTGAACAATCTGTGCTGTTGTATTTGCTGTAAAGTGTCTCTACTGTAGGCTATTTTTATTATATGTACAGCACTTTGGCTCGACCAAAAATCGTTTATAAATGTGCTATATAAATAAAACTTGATTTGATTTGATAAGATGTCTGACAGACTTAGCTTGGATACTAAGCCAGAGTAAATACAAGAAAAGATGCCTGCAGAAACAATGTTTAGGATCCTTTCATTCTGCCAGTGTTTGCTGTGCATCACAGGTAAATAGCTCTTATTGGCAGAGTCACACAGGAGCAGAAACGGTGTAAATGAAACAAAGTCAACCGTCTGCAAACATAATTATCTCTATTGCACTCAGCAAATGTAGCCTCAAATCGACCCTATCAACAGGTCTATCTCACAGAAAGCAATACATTAGCAGTGTGACAGAAAATACGTGTGCCTTGAATAAACCCTCCACAAGAATATGAATGCACCAGGAGAGAAATACTACATATATCAGTATAAAATACATGATTCTGACCTTAATTTAGACACATTTATATGGTTGAGCTCAGGCAGAATTATTCATTTTAAGCACTGCCATTATAGTAATTACAACTCTCGACGCCTGTGTTTATCTACTGTTCAAGTTGATTAACTAAAACATCCAGTTATTTCTCAAGAACAACATTTTAATCACCTCAATTAAAATGATACAAAAAAAAATCTCATTACTAGTGTATCAATGTAATTTCCCAAAAGCTGCGAGGTTCCTTAGGCTGTAATCTGCAGTTCATTTGAGTCTTACTGTCTAATGAAATTGTTTAAATATAGTGGCACATTTTTTGTTTTGACGTAATTGCAAACTCTCAGCCTGAAGGTTGAAACAAATGCTGCTTCCGGGATGAATGGTTTGTTCTGGTTTTGTTCCCCAGCTTGGCTACAGTCAAAACCAACCAGAGGTATCTTTGTTGTGTGTCTCTTTCGTTTCTCAATAAAACTAAAACACAACGTAAGTGGGGCGTACCACTTACCTTGTGGTAAGGTCGGTGTAATGTTTTCCAGTGAATGCACATGAATCTCAGACAGAGTTATCACAGAGAGAAGTGTGTGTGTTGAAACGAGCCACTCTCTCTCGGTGCAGTATCTTCCATTACGTCACCGTACTAAATTATATACACCACCACGGGCCACGATAACGTCGTTAAAAGCGATGTGAAGTCACTCTTGCCCCCCATTTCATCTCTAGCTCACTATCTTCTCTTCAGTCCTCTTATTGCCTCGTCTCTCCTTTACTCTGCCAATATCCCTTTCACTCTTTTTGCCATATCCTCTTCTTTCACTGCACTGATCATCATTTCAATTCCCTTTCATGACATGCAAACATGAAGCCACTTTGGCAAATGTATGCAGAACAACGCTGATCCTTATCAACACAGACAAAGCAATCTCAATCTCTTCTCTAGGACCAGAAATAAAGGTGATTTTGAATAACATGGAACCAAGTGAAGCTGCAAAGGGAACGTTGGGGTAAAGCTACGGGTTATAGAGAGTTACCAACAGACTGGAAAGACCGAAACGCCAAGCGACAGAGGTCTGGAGACGAAACTCTAACGCTGTCAGAGTATCTTAACCAACCCAGCTCATATCTGACCCAGTGGGTTCAGAGCTGTCCGAAAACAAACGCATGCACAACTCTTCAACCACAAAACCACACTGTGGCCTGAGAGGAGTTAGAGCATCTGCCGTAAATCGCTGTCAGATGCCGACTTGGAAAAGCGACGGGTTGAAGGCAGTCTCAGAGGAGGGATCTGATTTCTACTACACAACAACTCCTCCAAGTGATTAAGAGTTCTCCTCCCAGGTGGCCAGCAGACTCTGGTTAGAGAGCGTCTGACAGTGAGCTCTAGCAACAGTGAGTAAAGGACATGTACAAGAGAAAAGGCTGAAGGAAATGTGCATCCATGAGCTTTGCAGGAATTTTCATTCAAGCACTAAAGCAATGCTCACTGGTTTGTTGAAAGAGAGAGTGGCTCTGTGGGTGGAGGTAATTGGTGCCATTACAGAAGATGAACATGTGCATTGGAAAACATTTTGTTCTTTCATAAAAGCTTAAGAGGATTATTAAACTACAACTCTTGAATGGTGAACATCGTCCAATAACCAAGCTTAGATTTCTGCTGCATGGACTTAGTAGTTTTGGTTACATCATTCCTCTTTATAGCAATGGTAGCTGAAGCATTTGTGTCACAGTAGATGAAATGAATGAATCATTTAGTCAAAAGCAACTATTTAGATAGCTAAATAATAATAATAATAATAATAATAAATCATTTAATTTCAAAGCGCTTTTCCAGGTGCTCAAAGACAAGTGGTTTGATAAAACATGATAAAATAAAAATAATTTTAAAAAAACATTAAAACAGCAACACAGCATAATTCACAGATTAAAAGCCAGTCTGAAGAGGTGTGTTTTGGTCAGTGTACTGTTTTGAAAGTGGAGGGGTCGGTGATTACTGATTGAGCTATTACTGAGCTACTGATTCCAACTCTTGAATGGTGAAAATCAGCCAATCAGTAGTTTTGGTTACATCATTCCTCTCCATAGCAATGGTAGCTGAAGCGTTTTTGTTACAGTAGCCCACACACTGAATGAAATTAATGAATCATTTAGTCAAACTACAAGTGAATTGGAAACTATTTAGAAAGCTACCGATTCATTTTAGAATGTTTTTCATGGCAACATTGGCAAACATCCTCTGGTTCCAGCTTCTCAAAAGTAAATCTTTGATGCGTTTCCTACTCGAATGAAAGCAAATTGAATACCTTTGAGGTTTGTACCTTTGAACATAAAAGAAGCAACATGAATGTCATCTCGGGCTTTTAGAAACGTAAGAAAAGGAGAAACATCATTGACATAAGTAATCACTAGTTGCAGCCCTTGTTGTTGTGTTTAGAGCTATTTGCCATTTTGACAAACTGAGAAATGGGTCTGAGAATAATAATATCTTGTGGCATGAACACAATGACGTACAGGAGACTTCTGTGTTTCTATCTTGAAGAATATTAAGGACATTTTTGGGAGGAGATTTTGAAATGAGAATATATTTCCATTTTATTCTTAAAATGAAGACACTACTCTAGAAACTGAACTGAACATAAGTATGAGGGATCTTTTTAAAATCTCGATGTGATTAATATTGCGATCATATCCACCCGGACACAACTCAAATATAAACAGTTGTGCTTTTTCTTGGTGCTCTCTCTTTCATACACAAAACTTACTACAAAGTGGTGTCATGATTCCATTGTTCGAGCTACCACAACATCATTCAGTTCCAACCTTTATCATGTTGGAACTGTTGAGAGAGGTGGAGAGGATTCACACTCCACTCGCAGAACTATACTTAGCATTTCTGTCATCTCTTGACACGGTGAAAGCAGGAGATGAGAGGCAGCTGAGAGAGGTGTCATATTTTAATTAGTTTTCTCTGTGGGAAATGAAACAATTCTAGCAGTCAGCTAAATGCGAGCGCACAGAAACAGACAAAGGCGTGTGTGGGTGAACAACGGGCTCGAACACACCCACACATCCAACATTCACAATTACACATACAAAATATCCCTAATCAAAGGTAAAACAAAACTTCAGTTAAAAGGTTCACGTGGGATGATGTGGGGTGATGATTTCGTTTTTTTTAAATTCAGAGCTTTTTTCTCCCATGCTAGGAAAAAGGAGGAGGCTTTGAAAATAAAACTTAATCAAAAAGGTATGAAAAATAAGGAATAATTCAACTTTTTGGGGAAATATGCTTAATTGCTTTATTGTTGAGGGTTAGATGATAAGATTGATACCATTCATATATTTCCGTTTGATATAAAGCTGAATCTAGCACTTGGTTAGCTTAGCTTTGCATACAGACTGAAAACGTCTGTGTCAAAGTTAACTCAATATTGCTGCTACCATCATCATTATTCACCTTTCTTAGTTTAGGTATATGGACATCTCAGACTTTTCATCGCTCTGAGGCTCCCTGCATGGACAAAAGATCACACCCCAAAACACCAGATTGACTAAACTTTTTGTTTCCAATCTTTATTCTGAGCTAATAATAATAATAATGCATTTTATTTATATAGGTCTTTCAATGCTCTCAATGTTTTCTTTGACTCCAGCGTTGTCCTAAAATAATGAAACATGGCCATCATAAGTGGCGTTTTAAAGTGTTTTGTTTGTCTTCGCTACCGTTTCCATTGACAACGCTATAAAACAGAGAAATAAAAAAACAAATATTTGGCATTTTCTTGATAAAGGCCTTTAAAGATGAACTGGCAACTATTCTGTCAATCCGCTAATTATCTTATCCATTCGGCAATTGTATTCCCATTATATTGTAATTTGTTATATTAGAAGGTCTCCGGGAAATCCCTCTGGCGTGTTAATAGCGCTAACAAATAAATGTTTTAAGTGTAACTGCAGATAAATAGAATACAAATAACTTTGTGAGTGTGCAGTAAGATGTATTTAGAAAATCATCTAGGAAGCTGGAACTCATTATAAGCTGCAAAAAGACATTAGGTAGAGACAGAGTCATTATGCGGATGAGTTTTAATCCGTTTTCATAGGGAAGAAATAGAGAAGCTGGGAGCTGATTTTACAACAGGAGATGGATGGGAAACAGGGAGATAACAGTGGGAGAGGGGGAGATGGGGGAGAGGGTGGCAGTGCCTGAGCGGCTCCTGGATGTGTCTCCATTCTTAAATAATGATATGAATATTTCGTTGGAGTGGCCCTAACTTTGAGCTGGAAATCACAGTGTGTCCCTGCAATTTTAAAGCCTTGGCTCTTCAATTATTCAAGTATCATTCCTTTAACAATATTTTTCCATCACAGGGCAATTTAGCCAGGTAGTAAAAATGAGACTTTTCTGCCTCGTCTGCCTCTGAAAGCACTCATCTCAGCGTGTGAGGAGAGGAACACATCCACATCTAGGACAGAAACACCCGCTACCGGAGCAGGAGGGAACAAAGACAGCAAGGAGTGAGAGGAAAAAGGGGGGAGGAGAAGTGGATGATTTCATTTTCAAATAGTATAAACGGGATTCAGTCATCCGTTTCTTCTTTATGACTGACAACGCACACACATGCACCGCCTCCTCTTGTGTTTGGAGTGTCATAATCACCTGCTTTATTCTGGATGATTTATGGTCGGATACGAGAGAAACTCGATTTGTGGAGCGAGCAGGGGTTAAATTCGGTGCAGATAATGCCAAAAAGAAGGGAGAAACCACTGAAATGTAAATGAGCTGCAGAGATCCCAGTGGAGAATATAAGAGCTGAGACTAAAGTGAATACTTTCAGCTACACAGTTTGCCCAGAGCAATATCCCTGAGGTGCACAGATCAGAGACACGATGAGCAACCTGTCTGGCAAACAGTGTGGGAGAATAGAGAGAGATAATACAAATAAGCAAGCGCAACACTTACCTGTAGAAGTCACCATCTGGGGGATAACATCCTCGAATGTGCTGCAAAGCCCCCTGGGAAAACGAAAAAAAAAGACATGACATCAGTTGTAACCATGATGCCTGGAGACGCCTCTGAACCCAGAGGGGATGTGGTCAGCTGCAGCTGCAGTCAATTAGCCTTTATTTTGTAATCATAAACTCATTCATTCAGTCATTCAGTAAAGCTGAACTCATTACTCCTTACTTTTCAGTCAGTGACCATTAAAAAAAGGTTATCCTAGTTGCATTTAACACAATACAGCAAATCCAATTCTAAAATCAGCCATACAAATAATGCAAGATAGTACAGATATTATATGAATCCTCACAAACTCTAAAATGTTATTTTTAAAACATTTTACTTATTCTATTTTTCTCTTTAAGCATCATGAAAACCTTACTGTGAATTTGATTCTCATGAATAGGAATAAAGTACTGTAGAAGATAAAACCATCTCAAGTCGATTTACTCACCTGTCCAGATTGTGTAACCAATTCAGGATCGGTGCAAGCAATGTGAAACTATGATCGACCGATTACAATTAGAGTGGATACTTTGTCATATAAACATAGTTAATGTTTAAACTGTATTGGTGGCTTGAGGTCAATCCAGCATCTGTTGCATCACTGATTAGCATCATTCACACTCAATTAAAGCGGACCAATTGATACGCAGAGCCGTGAAGTGTCGCTCAGATTGTAAAAAGCCTTACCTTTCTGGTTGAAGGAAATCTTAGGAACCTGTTAGGGAACCTTTTTTTCTACAAGTGCGGTTGGTTCCGCACACAATGAAGTCCGGTGGTATCCTCTCCAGCACCGGTCATTAAAGACGATCGGAGCCCCCCTGCGCTCGCTCTACAACCGGAACCATCGCGTCATTATTCGCCGTCAGTTATCCCCTCTTTCCCCCCGGTTCACTCCCAACCAGGTGCCAGTGAGGGCCTATGGGAAATCTCATGGCATCCTCCTCCTCTCCTGTGAAGCGCTGGGGACGGATGAGTCAAGGCGGCAGTCCGGCTGCAGAGTGGCACGGCTCGGCATGGCTGGCTCCCGGGGGGCGGTGTGGCCCCCGCTGCCGCCGGTCCCGGTGGGGCGGGGTGGGAAAAGCAGCGGTGTGAGCGACAGTGACAGCCTAACACCGTGTGATATCACTTTACCAGGAGGGTGGGAGGGGATGTTGCTGGTGTGGATGGTGTGGAAACGGGGGGTCGTCACCATCCGGAGATGAAAGCGTAAAGCTGATGGAATAACACACTCGGTAGTTTGAATAGTTGTGCCTTTGTTGAAGGAATTTGTCCACATTTACATCCAAAGCCTTGATCTCTTTCAAGTTAAACTATTCCTTGACTCTGCAATCCTTACGTGGAACGAGCAACCTGTCTCAGTACATTTTATAAGTCTTAGAGAGGACAGAGGAGGTAATTCTCAGTCTGCCAACCAAATTCATGCAAATCACTTTATTTCATGCGTTTTTTATCTTTACAGAAAAAATACCAGTAAAGGTAAGAACTAGTGGATAATGGAGAAGTTTAAGGAGGCTAAAAACTCATATTAAGAAGCTTTTTAAAAATACGAAGTTAATTAAAGATACGACTGTAATCCAAATCCCAATGTATACTTCAAGTTACCAACTCTAATACAAGTTAAAAGTTCATATTAGAAAAAAATCTAAGCAAAGTCAAAGCCACTGAAAACCAGGCTCTCTGTTGAATCATCTCACACTTCAAGGTATTGCAAAAAACAAATATGCCTTTCTCTGCTTATTTAAAAACATAACTCTTTAGATTAGTAATACGTCCTATTTATTGATGTTCGTTTGTTTTCAGATGCTCTTTAGATCAGTTTTCAGCCATGGTTTAGGTTGCCATGTTTACATTTCTCCGACAGATGTTTATCGTGCACATCTTTTAGGGTTTTGAGCTAACCTCTGACCTTTTAAGAAAAAGGTTGAGGGGCATTTATCTTAACATTTACTACTGCAGACTTTAAAGACAGTAAGCCCTTTTTCCACTATAGTATTAAAGATAGACAATTCTAGATGACACTTTAGCTGATGAAAGTCCTGACCCATTAAAGGGGCCCTATTGTGCTCATTTGCAGGTTCATATTTGTATATTGTGCCTCTACTGTGACATGTTTACATGCTTTAATGTTTAAAAAAAGTGCTTTATTTTTCGATGGCATACTGTGATTGGTTAGCCACAAAGATATGTACCGCCCCTTAGCCTATCATTTACAATGTGTTGGAGATAAGCCAATAGATGGGCAAGTTTTGCATAGTGATGTCACTCTAAAACACACAGATCTGTGGCCGTTTCTCAATTGTGAGGATGCTTGCTTGGTAGCACATGTCTTCCGAGTCACTTCCTTCAGAAGCTAGGCAAGAATCCTTCCTGGCATTTGGAAAACGAAGAGTGGAACAGGCTAGCAAGTGTGCAGGTGTGCGTCATATGAGAGGCCCCGCCTTACATTTTCCGCCACAGATTTGGGGAAATTGCTCCGTGCGCAAAGCATTGTGGGGATTTGAAGGACGCAAAGTCTACCCATGTGCAGCCTCGAAATTACCCCCAAACCAAGGACGCGGCCTCGGTGGAATTCCAAGTATGCTGGAGATTGGAACAGTCCTTCTGCGGCACTCGATGACGTAGTATCCTTGAAATATTGTCTTGGAAGCCAGATTCCTCGCGATTGAGAAACGGCCTGTGTCTCTATAAGATAAGGTTAAGGCAGGGGTGTCAAACTCAAATACACAGTGGGCCAAAATTAAAAAATCGGTACTGGTCGAGGGCCGGACTGGTTAAATGTTTATTGCAAAACTTATTGCACATATTAAACCTGGGACTAACAAAGCTTAAATGATTGCCTATAAAAACAACATTAAATAATCAGTTGCATTCATTTCTTATGGCTCTATCTGCAGCTTTTCCGGAGTCATTTCTCATGATCACATTTTTCCACAGGCCAACAACAGCTTCAACAAAACTATTTCCCTCAAAGAAAAAACCAAACATGCCCTGTTGTCGTGAGAGAAAAAGTGCAAAAGGAAACATCCATTAAACTCAGTGTGCTGCTCTGTGATGCTAGCTCAAGCCAGATACTTGGCATCTCATCTTGGGTACAAGTTCATCAATGTTTGGGGTCTGAGCTGAGGAGACCCTCAGGATTGAGTGAAGGTGTGCGTGCAATATACCGGCGGGCCAGATCTAATAATAATAAAAAATTATCCTGCGGGACTAAATTAAATCCACCAAGGGCCTGATTTGGCCCCCGGGCCTTGAGTTTGACACGTGATCTACGGCATAAGGTCTGAAATGAAAGTGATTGCAGCTGCTGTCCATGGTGCTGAAGCACACTTCAGAAAAGGGCAAACACAAGAGCACTCATCACCTTACCTCAGATTCATGTAACTAAAAGATTATTTCCCCAATCATTGCCACATTATATCTTCATCTTTCTAATTCCCTCGAGCAGCTGGAGCCAACCTTCTCAAACGGCTCATGCAAACAAGATCCATCTTGACCCTAATACCTATATAATGAGGAGATTAATCCTGGCTACATTTGTTTAAGTATAATCTTGATCCAGAAAAAAGGGCTCATCTGTTTCGCATGTCTCCGCCTCTGAGTGTCTCCGGCTAAGTTAGGCTAGCTTTGTAGCAGGGGGCTGATGAAGGCAGGCCTGTGGGGAGTTCTGAGATTACCGCTCAAATTAAATAAAGGAGTCGACACATTACAGCAGCTTAGAGGATACACCCCACTGCACTGGTTCATTTTAAACCAGTACGATGTAACACACACCAAGCACACAAACAACATCCGTAAATCTGGCAAGCCCCTCTCTTTAACGCTGTCTTTTCCTTTACCTTTCCTCTGGGCTACACATAAACACAAGCACACACATGCATGTGCACACACAACGACTCACAAGCACTCAGCATGGCTCCCGTGTCTCATGACTCGAGTTCATTATTGCCTTGGCAGGGTTCCTCAGATGAAATTAAGATGACAACAGGAATGACACAGAGTGCAGCAGTGGAAAGTTTACACAGGGTGAAGTTGAGAGCCTGTGTGTGTGCGCTGAACAAATCTAATCTGCTCTGATTCATGGCCAGGCTTGTCTACATGCATTTGTGATACACTTCCTCTTTGCGTATGTACTTAGTCTAAGATATGGAGACGGAGAGCGAATGAGAGAATGGCTTCTGACAGCTTGAGCACTCGTTCCTGGGACAAAGTCACTGTGCCCCTCCTTTAGCAGAACCACCAGCCAGTGTTGGCAGCGCATGCTTAGCTCATTTACTCGCAAAACTACTTGTGACAGAGTTAAATACTCCAAAGGCTGAATTATGAACTCCAGAGCCAAACAAGTGCCAAGACACTGCTGCTTTGTCACACAGGGAGACAATGGGGGAAGGAAAACATCTAATTATCCTCAAAAGAACAGATACCAGCAGGATGAGCCATGCATTGTTTTTTTTTATTTTTTTTATAAATGGAGAACGTTTTTATTAGACCAATATATCTCATAAAGTATTGGATGGATTGCCATGACATTTTGTACCTATAATTCGTGTTCCCAGGAGGATAGATCGTACCAACTTTGATAATCCCCTGAAGTTGGATGCAAGTAAATGTTTCTCAATTTAACATTTTATTTTTCCAATGCCAAAACATTAACTAATCACCAATCATTTACAACTGTACTTCAGTACTGCTACAACGTTAACATCCAAGTATTACCATTGTCAATGTGAGCATGTTAGCCTGCTGACTTTAGCATTTTGTTTAAAGTATTAATTTAAGTACAGCCTCAGACTGTAGCATGGCCCCATAGTTTATTTGTAAATGCAGAAAGGGCAATCAAATATATAATGCAGGTTATTAATGATTGGGGGCTAGAGTTTTATAAAGGAAATCTATTTACTTAAAATAACTATTGCTGAAACAGAAGGAGGTCAAAATAGCTCCAGATATTTGATTGCCAGCAACAGACAAACTTAACTGCTGCAGTATGGCAGGAAGGAGAATATAGCTACAGTAAATCTGGGTATACTAGTAAAAACACAAGCTGATTTATTCCTCAATAAACCCTTTGTTGTATACAGCGCTTCTACAGAAGGAGGATTAAAATCATGGAAATATCACATAAAGAAAGGCTTCAACTCTGAAGTAACAAACTGAAGATGAATGTCAGATTTGCATCAAGTTTGAAAGCTCTTTAACAGCCACTCAAAAAGGCAAAAATAATCATTAAAAAGTATGTGACTTTATATATAAAGTCACTAAAATAGCTTAGTGCCTTATGGCCCTACAGCTCACCAGATTGAAACATCAAAAAAACTCTTAGGGATATTCTGAAGTGAAGAAATGTTCTTAGACCTTCAAAGAAATGCACGTTTCCTCTTTGACGATGTTTGTAGTACACACAGGAGAAATGAACAGGCAGTGCAAGGAGGGCTAAACGTGTCTCTATTCCTTCACAGAATCCATTTTGTCAATCAAAACTGCAGTATTTTGTTTTGTTTTGGGTGTACTGCAGGCCAAGTGTCCTCTCTTTAATATCCTGTATTCTCCACAGAGGAGATTAAGGCAGCCGATCAACCATTGAGGCACCGCAGCTCAGATCACAATAAACTGAAAGCTAATTAAATTGGGTTGTCATCACCAGGAAAGCTCTGTGGGCCTTTACACTACTGCAAATTGCTATCATATACCCAGAACTTGTCAAGTGAATTCCTCCTTGTATCATTAAGAAGAGTAATACCGCCATTCATCCCACCACAGGTTTTACTTCTTTCTAGCTGGGCTCCCTTTAATGTTTCTCTTAATTTTTTACTGTGTCATTAAGGCCCGAAAAGCACATTTCTATACTTTTATGTTTGTTACTGTGCACTAATAACTCACTGCATCTTCTTTTAAATCATCTCTCACAGGAAAATAGCTACATTTAAAAAGGTCATCCTCGGCTAACGTTATTTACAGATTTTACCCCCTGAAGCAGACTTCAGGTGAAATCAAAGTTATAAATCATTAAGGCTACACAGTGTTTTTTCTGTCTGTTTCCAGCTGTAACACAAAAGCAAGATATGGCCAAAGTATGTTATCATCCTTAACCACATACAGAGGTGAACTCAGATACTCTACTTAAGTAAAAGTATAAATAATATGGTCTTAAATTCAAGTAAAAGTAAAGAAATAAATATAATCAAAATGTACTTTAAGTATCAACAGTAGGCCTACTCATTATGCACAGGGCTCCTTTGAATACAAATGTAAATCCATGTACTGCTGAGAAGTAAGAGCCTTTTAATATTGCAGTTTGTCAATTTTAGATATTTTTTCAAAAACTGGGAGGCTAAATATTTAATACTGCATCACATTTGTTTTTTTATATGTAAAAAGTAACTTTGCGGGCTAAATAAATATGGAGTAAAAAGTAGACTTATATGTAATAAATTGGACTTACTCAAGTAGAAGTATGACAAAATAGTACTCAAGTACATTACTTGAGAAACAGTAGTAACTGTAATTCCACAACTGACCACATGTGTTTGTTAAAATGTAGGTTAACCTCTAACTCCTAACCATAACAGCCTTCCTCCGAACTGCTACAGGAAACACCATTTAAGAGGAAGGGAAACACTTCAAAAAGGAGAAAATACCTTCAACTAGGCCCCATGGACGTTTGATACTGGTTTACTTTCAAATTTAAAAATGAATGAGAAACATCTAAAAACTGCAAGCTAATGTTAGCAGTCCAGGACCAACTATCAGAGACAAAGCTAACAAATAGTTAGCAAACACCGTTTAGCATTTGGGATATTGTAGCTAAAATGAACACATTGTTTATTCTTCTCAGCATTAACATTAGTAGTTAGAAACCAATACGAGTGAATCAACTTACCTAGAGTCCACTTGCATTCGACAGGTGGCAAAAAACTAAACTCAATATGCTTTTGATGTGTCTTCAGGTAGCTGTGGTTGCTAACAAGTTCACCATAATTAGCACACAAGTCAAAAGTTGTGTTTACAGCTCGTTTCTGCTGCAGGTTTAAGAGAATATGGCGTTTGCTGGTGCTTAGAATACTTCGGACAATATATTGTAGCCTACTGTCAACATTGTAGCAAGGCCCCTTCTCCCATTAACATGAAACCCCCTGAAGTGAAAGCAGGACATCAGTAGACCTCACTAATGCTTATGAGCCCAGGTTCCAAACACTTTTGGAAATAAGTACTTTTCAAATGGTTTTAGATAAAAATGTATGTAATAGGTTACATGTTTTTTGCTTACAGTTTACCTGCAGAACCCACACAGCTTTGTCTGTGGACTCGCTGGTTTGCCCCCTATCGTAGGCCTACAGCTGCACCGTTATCACTTCATGTGGGGGGGCCACTGCAGGTGAAGCCTTCGCTGCAGTGTGAGTCTTCCCTGTGGACATATTAGTCAATTCTGTTAACACACCATGCTGTGCTGGGCTCCGGATTAGTTTTTAATGACATTTGAAGGTGCAGAGTGTCTCCAAGCCCAACACAATATCACCTGCAACAACCTTTTCCTCAGGGAGAAGAAAGCAGAGAGTCTGTGAGTAATATACGATCTACCCGTAAATGAATCCTGTGTAAATTAAACAAGTGACCCCAGACTCACTCACAAGCAGGCCCGGACTGGCCATCGGGATGACCGGGAGGTTTCCCGATGGCCTGGCCTGTTAAGTGGCCTGAGGATTTTTTTTAAAAAATGTATGTATTGTGAACGCAAATGTGGGTCTGACTCTGCCTCACAGAGGGTGACTGGCTGTATACATGATGTGGCCTGCCGACATGGCCACTTTCATACAGATCATACTAATGCCCTCGATTGGTTTGTGTGTCATTCAAGCTCGGGAGGGTGTGTGTTAGTGTGGCGCGATAAAGCGTGCGCACCGGTTACGTGTATTGTTGTTAGCATCTGGTGCTAGCTAACTGCGATAATGGATATAAGGAGCTTTTTCAACAACAAGGTGGAGGAGAGTCCTCTCCTGTCAGACTGAGAGACTGATAACTACAGCTCAGGTGAGGTAAAGGACTCTCTGAGTGTTTAGATAGTTAACTTAGTCTAAGTTATCTCTGTGGGTCTCGAAGGGTTTGGTCACCATTTATGTAAACACATATTTCCATTTGAGGGGGTAGTGATTGGTAAAATATGCATGAATAATACAAAAAAAATGTTAACTAGGTGAAAAAAGGTAAGATAAACTTGTTGAGAGCTAAAACTAGTCTTTGCTGCTGCCTCAAAGAGGAGCAGGGGGGAGACAGGTGAGGCTGGTTCAGGAGCACAGACACACTCACAACTATAAATGAACCAAAAACAAATAAATAAACAAGTTTCAATGTTTTTTCATATTGGATATGGTGTGTTATTGGTTATGGCCATGTTTTTATGATTATTTAAATGTATACAGTTCTGTTTCATATGGGTGTAGTCTCTTTATTTCCCCCTCAAAATGCACCAGATTGATGCATTTAAGTCCAACATTTTTAAAAAATCTTACCGGGGGAGCATGCCCCCGGACCCCCCTATAGGATTTGAGGTCCACCTCCACTTAAAATATGTTCACATAGGTTCCTAAATAGATTTGCACATTTTTTTAAATAGTAACCCATGTCCATATGTTTATTTTTGGGTAGTAGATTTAGAGGGCTATCACTATGGGCAGCAACGCTGTAAAAATTGACAAATAAAACTGGTAGTGGCCTGGCTGGGTGTATAATTCCCGGCCTGACTTATTGTCCCAGTCCGGCCCTGCTCACAAGCATGCTAACACTCTAAAATAGCCTCCATGTTTGTCACAAAGTGGATCCTATCAATATGTGACGTTGTTTAATGAGATTTGCATAAAAAAATGGCAGAAGTGTAAAATAAACTGGCAATTAGAGAAAAGTTAATGTACAAAATGTCAAAACAGTGTTGATAAATTCCTCGCATTGTTGCATCGATAAAGAAAATGATTCAATTAAAATGAGTCTTTACACAAGTTTCAGTGTACTTTTTCTGCTTGATAGATTCAAGTGTTTTCTGTAGTGAGCACGTTAATGTATTCATTCACTCATCACTCATTGATTTATTCTCTTTGCAGTTTTTATACCATGGCATGATCCAGGTCAGCTTATAACAGCAGGGCACAGCAGAGCTTGAGATCCAGCACACGATCACTCAAACACACACATCTGGAGTTCAAAGGACTCAGCATTTCTGCAGTTTCACAGTTGATTTGTCTTTTTAAAAAGGGTATTAGACTCAGTCAGGAATTCTACACAAACAGCGGTTAAGACAGGGATTCTGAGTTGTAATGGCAGCAGAGCTCAGAGAACCGAATAAATGAAAATTTGATTGAAAATATTTTCCATCAGAGTGGGATGGAGAAATAGATAGAGTGCCCCTACACACTCGGTGTCTTAGGATATAAAATAATTGAGTTTGAGAAAGCAGAATAGATTATTACTTAGCTAAAAGAAAACCACCATCACTTCTTGGCTTTTTGCCTAAACACAGTGTGGGTAAAAACTACAGCTGGGCTCCAGAGTCCCGGTCCAGAGTTTCAACCTTCTTTCACCTCCACATATTAAGTGTCTGCATCACTAATAAGTCTCTGAACGTGGCGAAGCCCAGCCATCTGTCTGTCTCACAGTCCGAGCAGAGTTTATTCCAGTATCTTGTGGTAGGGGAAGAGGGGCAGGCCTGCGGTGAAAGCAGGGATGTCCATGATGGCAGCTGTACCCGCCATCTTGGGCGAGGCAGGAAGGAAGGTGACCTTCGACACCTCGCCGTACGTAGAGCCACTCACATCATCCTCTTTGCCCTTCTTTCCCTCTTGTTTCTTACCACCACCATCCGAATCGTTCTCTTCAGCACCAAATCCCACCACCTTTAGGAGACAGCGACACATTTAATGTTTTGTGACATTACCCCAAAAATAGAATAAAAATTACATCTCTCTCTCTCCTCATACAAATCAAAGGTTTTGCTTACATGCACGCTGAGCTTGCGGCTAGTTTCCCCTCGATGTTCTTTGAACCAGGACGCCAGCTCCACCCTGGTCATCTGCTTCAGAGCCGCGATCTAAAGACACAGAAACACCAATGGATCAAACACTTGGACTGAATGACAAGTGCCTTTCATTTAAAAAGGTAAAAACGGCAACATTAAATCAACAGTGAATAAAGTGATCGTGGCAGGAGACCTTCATAGTCAGGAGACCTTCATAGTCAGGAGACCTTCATAGTGAGGACTCTTCACCCCCACCTTTCAGTCTCTTTATAAATGAAGATTAGAATAGACACCTTCAAACAAATAATATAAAAAACTATGGAAAACCGCGATAATTTGTATAAAATAATAATGATTCAATCAAAAACATTTGTAAAATTAGTAAAAATTATAGTTACTTTATGTTTACTTAAACAAGATTAGGGACTAAAACAATTATTCCCAACTTTTTATCTTGTCTTTATAGAAAATCTGATTATCCTGCGTTGAGCATCAGTTCTCTGAGCTGTGTGTGCGCGTGTGTGTGTGTGTGTGTGTGTGTGTGTGTGTGTGTGTGTGTGTGTGTGTGTGTGTGTGTGTGTGTGTGTGTGTGTGTGTGTGTGTGTGTGTGTGTTGTTCTCACCTCTCTGTTGAGTCTATCAAAGACAAACTGCTGTGTAACCACCTCGGCCCAGTTCCTGTCCACCTCCTCCCCGAGGTGTGTGTCCTCACACTCCTTCAGCTTCACTAAAGCGGTCACCTGTACAAAACATGCCACAATATTACAGTTTTTAATTACTCATTTGACTTCCACAATTATTTGAACATTTAAAGTAGAACAGTAAGTACAAGTGAGTCTAACATTTTAAAGAAATGTATTACATCACCAAGGTAACTTGTAAATACACTTTTGTCATTTCTCAAACTTTTACTATGATTTTCTCTACCTTTCTGCTTCTGCATGATAAAAAGGAGCAATAAACTCATTAACACACACACACACACACACACACACACACACACACACACACACACACACACCTGCGTTTTAAAGGCCTCCTCAGTCAGCGCATCGAGCAACTCCCCAAATGAAACCAGAAACTCTTCAATCTTTGACTCCACCAGCTCCGTACTGAGAAAAAGAGTTCACGAGAGGTAAGAGATATATATATAATACACTATAGGGTGCGTTTGATTCCTTTAGTCGTTCATCAGATCCACCGCTGCTCTCCTTCCAGGACCAGAGAGATGGATTGTAGCTTGGGTTTGGGCGAACAGTGAGATAAATTATACCTTGGTTTTGGGAAATGCAGTTAAGATAAATCTTATCTTGCTTTCGGACAAATGAAAGGTTACGATTGTGTTGCAGACTCACTTGAACTTTGTGGCTTGTGTTTCCACGGTGACAGAGAAACCCAGAACACCTGAGGTGTTCCTGCAGGTCGGGTAGACATGGTACCTGCAGAGGGAGGCATCAAAGGAGACGGAAACAAATAAAAAGGTGTTGAGAAACACGAAAACGGATCAGAGACGGATCAAAATAACAAACCAGGCAGTTCATTTGAATTATTTTCCAGAAGATAAGTCCCACCTGACTTTCTCTAGCAGGTAGTCGACATTTAAACCATTAGAAGATACCGTTTGAAATGTGGTAAATGTAAATAGCGTTGTCCCAATTTAACTACATCAGCTAAGAACCGCCTTCAACAAGATGAGGTTTGTTTTTCTCTGAACCTATTAATAAATAAATGTCCCTTATAAAGACAAAGACATTCAGCCACAAAATAACTAAAATATCTTCAATTTGCAAAATAAATAAATAGCACTTCAAGAATTGATAAAACCATGAAATGGTTACAAACAAATGTACAAAGTTATGAGAATTACAATTGCTGTACACGTTTTGTACTCTTGCCTTGAACAAAATATGCAAAATTAATGAGTAAGCACAATGTGTTTCACAAAAGACAAAAGACATAAAAAGACAGATATGAAAATATATAATTATTCTTTTAAAAAGACACAAATCAAAGCAAATGTAAACATGAACAAAGTGAACAGTTGAAACTATTGACATGTACTGTATAGTAAAACATTGTAATGATTTCATAAAAGTTATAAATAATATTTAAAACAAACGTATAAATATATAATTACAGTTCTTAAAAAGAGGCAAAGCTTTGTTTAAAACATAACCACCCTCACCCGAGAGTCTCTTTGGTCCTGAGGAAGTCAAAGCAGGGCTCCTCCATGTGCATCTGAAAGAGAACAACAACTCAGAGAAGCTCGGAGGAACGACAGTGAAAAAACACATAGAAAAATAAACTCACCACCAGCAGCTCCATCAGCGTGTGCTCCCTCAGGTGCTTGAGGCCAGACTAGATCAAAAGAATAAATAAACAAGTGTGAGTTAAACAAATGAGAGCATGTTGAAGAGAGTGAAAGATATGAAGGGTCATTGAACGGCAGATGTGTTTGTACCTGGTAGTAAACGGTGATCTCAGAGTTGGCGTCTCCCTTATTGAGAGATTTGACCTTACAGATGTGCTGCTTCATGGGGAGCTCCACCACTCTGAACATCACCGGCACCTCCGCTGGCAGCTTGGAGAACTGCAGCTTACTGACAGGGAAAATAAAAAAGGGCGAACAAAGGGGAGCGAGGAAGAGGGGAAAAGAGAAAGAAAAGGAGGTGAGGTGGAGAGGAAGAAAGAAAGGAGGTCAGACGTTAAAGCATAAGTTTAGAGGGGATTCATAGAGTGAACAACCGAAGCTAATGAAAATGACTGTGTATGGCGGCAAACAAATCCATGTGATTGTATAGTATTGGTGTTTTCATTAGGGAGTGCTTTCAGTGTAATAGCCGCCTTACTCTGTGACATACTGCAGGAACTGCTCCGACTCCTGTGGAGAAAACACAATAAAGGATAATGAGCAGGTGAGAGATAAGAGCGTGAGGTGAAGGAATCAGAAAAAACATGAGAACAATGTCGAGCACACTCAAACAATTGATGCACGTACAGAGATGGACATTAACCAATTTGTTAGCTAATCAGCGTATTGTTGTTGTTAATCAATCTACTTGTGTGTGCCATCCACTCACAGTGCTGTTAAAGTTGCCCTGCACCAGTCCCTCGGCGTACAGCTCCGATTTTAAACTACGGCTGAACTCCATCAGCTCTTCGATGGTGAGACCGGCTGTTAGAGCCTGATACTTCTCCACCATGGACCAGCGAGAGTTTTCTAAGATTAGCAAACGCACATCTCTGAGGAAGACGAGAGGGGGAGGAGTGAGGGAGAGAGAGAGAGAGAGAGGGGAAAAGAGGACACAGGCAGGAGCTTTTTACCATTCAGGTCCGTCACACGATTCACCACTAGAAGGCATCAGAGACTTGAGATTGAGTCCTAAGGTAAACTTGAAATGTCAGTAGACAGAAGGTAAACAACTCACTTGCCGAGCTTCTCCGGTTTAATGAGGATGTTGAAGTAGGCTTTCTTGAGCTGCTCCATGTACATGCTGAAGACATCAGGGGCGGCGGAGAAATCAGCCAGGTGGTCAATGATCAGGTGGAACAGCAGCTGAAGACAGAACAAATGAAGAATCAGCATCTTTATCAAACACCTCTGTGTGCAAGCTGACTAACTGTTGCTGAAAGTGGATTTAGAGTAAAGGAGCAAGAGTAGCTGGAAATACATCTTTGGGAAGAATAGTTCAAGTTTTTGAAAATACATTTATTTGGTTTCTGGACAAGATTTAAAAGAAAGATGAATTTATGTTTGAGAACGGTATCAATCTTCTCATTCAACTTAAAGCAAGAAAGCATAACCCCAAAAAAGGTAAAGCTCTCCTTTAATGTTTTATGGACACCCATAAAGCCAATAAACTACCAAATAATGTCTGTCAGCGTGTAACACATATCAGAGGGAGAATATCCTACATGCACAATTGTATTAATTAAAAGGCAAATGGTGACTATCTTTGTCTGTTAAGATGATCTAAAAGCCACTTTTAGAGACACTTGAATTATGCTTTATAAAAAGATGCATAAAATAGCTAATTTACCCATCTACAATAAGTTATAAACATGCAGCCAACAAGTACACGGCAAGAAAAGTCGTTCATAAGGAGCATATGGCAAAATAAGATTTTTTATTATACATATGGACTAGTAGTCTGGATCTAGTACACAAAGGATATATAATACTATCAAATAGTATATCTATTGCACGATTTAAAACTTAAAAATACAGTACACTGCCAGAAAGACAGTTTCAGTGTCTGGTTGTATTCATTTGATGGTATTTAAATCTGTGTGTGTGTGTGTGTGTGTGTGTGTGTGTGTGTGTGTGTGTGTGTGTGTGTGTGTGTGTGTGTGTGTGTGTGTGTGTGTGTGTGTGTGTGTGGTTTGTCCAGTTGCATTCACTCACAGGCAGTTTGTGGTTGAATCCTTTAACCTTGATGACCAGGCCGTGTTCGCCGGACGACAGTTTATACTCCAGCTGCGCCACCTCAGCCTCATAAGCCAGCTCGGCTAGTTTGTGACCGAGGATGTTCACCAGCAGGTCAAACAACACCACACTGGAGGGAGGGAGGGAGGACAGGGGTGAGGATGGAGAGAAAGAGAGAGAAGCGTCATTGGGTAATTAGGAGGAAGGAGAAATTGAAAAAGATATTGGGAAAGGGAAATATAGCAAGGGAGTGAACGGTAGAGTAGGTGAGAAGGATGAAATGCAGGGGAATCAAGAGGAACGGCAACAACAACATAGAAAAGGAGCGAAGGAAGGAAAGGGAAGGATATAAGCAAGAGTGTAGAAGAAATGCAATGAAGACACGAAAAGAAGGGGATTTAAATAAGGAGCAGAGAAAGAGAGAACAGACGATGGCAGAAAAGAAGAGGTGTTAATTAGTGTTACAGCAAAAAACAAACTACTTTCACGAGGCCATATTTGAGTCTGAACTTACTTCTTGGCAGATTGCTGGATTACAGGAGAGATTAGGTGGAATCTGATGTATGCTGCAGCAGGAAAAGAAGAACAAACGAGTGTCAACACCTCTCTAATGATATCAGAGTCTGTGCGGCAACATCTTGCATGCCGAATGACGCACACACACACACACACATCTCACCTTTAGGGATTTTGAATTTGTCATCCTTCTTGTACCACAGGCAGCCCCTGTCGCTCTCGGCTATCCGGACAGGAAACTCAGTGTCTGGGCGGTCAGGCGGCTTCAGGGTGAAGTCAGTGGCTGTTCAAATGCACATAAACAATAAAACATCATAATCCAGATCGGTGAAGTCTCATAAATAATGTGTGAGTTCAACAATTCAACGTGTCCACTTTGGGATAAACATGCAGCTGGATGTCAAAACTGTAAAACAATGTCCCCACATCAATAAATGATTCAGCAACCCTGGGGCTAATAAGTGAACATGCATAATTTCTCCACATTTGATCAGAATTGGCAATGTGCTGTGGCCTTACAAAATGTAGCAACAGAGCACAATACCAAAATATATCAGCTCTTACCTTTTTGGCCAGGATTTGACCTTGTTTGAGCTGAAATGATGACCCCTAAAATATGACGTGTCTCGACAGACTGGATTTAAATTACATGAGGAACAGCAAGTTCACCATGACAGAATATATTGACCAAATAGAGAGAATGGGAGGGATGAAACCCTCTTTAATGGTCACACATGCAGAGCACACAGAGCGACATAACCCATCCTAGTACGAGGAGATGTTCTTCTAAGTTTGGTGACTATACCTTCTTATTTTTTTCAGATTTGACTCCACTACATTTACATAAAATGTGTCTTTGGCACTGGCAAATAAAACAACACTCACATGCACAGAACATACAATTCACACAAAAAGAAGAAAATGACCTCTTAAAAGTGACTAATGGTTATAATAAAAGTGCTGAGTGCTCTTCCACTCGCTTAGGGTCCATTAAAATAACAGTTGTATTAAAAAAAAAAAATGTAATGTACAATAAAATGAAGTGATGGTGTCGGTGGTAGAATGTCCTAAGAAGGATCCATGAGGCTTTGATAGGGGGCACAAGGTGTGTGTTTGAATATGTGTGTGTGTGTGTGTGTTGGGCGAGCAAAAGCACAAACTGCAGTATCAATTCTTCTTCATGATCATCTAATTGGACACTATTTCAGATATTTACAGCAGTTTTGGGGCACAACAGCCCCCCCCCCCCCCCGCAGTGCAGAGAGTTGATCACCCACCAATGAATTTGTTTTCGACAGGAAGTGTGAGTTCACTGCTGAGCTCCAGGTTTCCGGTCCACCGATCCATCCACTCCTGCTGGACGTCTGTGTGTGCGAAGGGAAAAATAATACAATACACAATATTATATGAAGTTCACATTCATGTTTGGAATCGAGTGACCTTAACATTTGATTCCAACTCGTATTGGTTTTTATTTATTTATTGAAGTGCTGTCCCAACACTATTGTTCGCCAGCTAAAAGACAGAGATAAATGTTGGCATTTCTGCTGCCGGCTGGCCTGAATATCACCACACAAGGGGAAAAAGACAATGTATTCACTGAATGCCTACGTTGTGGGAAGGAGCTGTTACACCGACAGTAGACACACACACACACACACACACACAGAAACACACCCTCCACGCTGTATTGAGTGCCAAACCACTTCTCCCGGAGGGGACAATGGCCCTCATGTTCTGGGGACAGCAGCATCAGGTTGGCTTTCTCAGGGTTGAGGAGGGACAACGCTGCACTGATCACCTGCACACACACACAAACACACACAGGTAAAGTTAACTTTCCAGGAAAAAGTTGAATTTTTATTTATTTATTTGTTTTCAAATGACATGTTTATGTGAAAACAATTTTAGCCGTCAATCACCATAAGAAGCACCAAAAACTTAAGAAGTTACTGTCTTCTCAGAAAAATATGCAAATTAACTTCTGACAGTGACGTTTGATGCAAAGTAAAATTCACCGATAAAAGACCGACAACTCTAGAAAATATTTTTCCGCTTACAAAGAATTTTAGCTCAGAAATCATTAACATATCAAAAAGAAAACATACAATTATTTCTATTTGAGTGAAGCGTTTCATAAATCTATTCTAAAGTGAGAATAAAACCCTGAAATGATTCACTCGCTGAACTACTTACTGTCGGGTCGTACTCGAACATCAACTGATCTCCGGTCAGGAAGTCTTCTTTAGGGAACACCTGCAAGTTCTCACAGATGTCCTCGACGTACTCTATAGGGTCATTCTGACAAAGAGGAGATCATTGTCACTGGTAAAGAAAAACCCTTCACTAAATAGCTGTTAGTCCCACCGTCTTCAAATACAGCAGCACGTGGTGTTTGGATTCTTACCTGCTCCTGGTAGTGAAACTCGTTGGCTTCAATCTTCTGAATCTCCTCATATATTCTGAACGCATGAACAAACAGACTGAAATATTACCTTCACGCCTCCCAGACAGGAGCTCAGACGTTACCACATCAATACTGCATAAAGCAACATAATAATAATAAAGCTAAATATTATTTAAAAGAGCAAACAAACCAAACCTGTCTGGTATAATGCGGTATTATCTACCTCCTTTCAAAAAGCCAGAATATAAATGTTTATTTTGAGTAAAAGCTCAGAGTGTGTGTGTGTGTGTGTGTGTGTGTGTGTGTGTGTGTGTGTGTGTGTGTAAATGCCTTTGCTGTGGTCCGAGTGTCTGCAGCATCTTCAGGTACTGGAACACCAGGTGAGTCACCTGTTACACAGAAATAAGAATATCGTTTAGTTTAAATTAATTATTTTGTTTGTAAAAATGACTAAAATTCCTCTTTTTCACCATGATAATGGAGCTTAAGTGAAACGTATTGTTGCATTTTGAAAAACCACAAAGATAACACTGATAGTTGCCAAACTTGTAGTAAGACTTTTTGATTACAGTCATTAGAATAAGCTGGGACAATTACACTGAACAAGGTGTCCACATATAATACTAAATAGGAAGTAATGTGTCTATTTGCCCCCTTTTAGAGATTCAAACATGTAAATGAGAATGCCACCTCTACCTTTGTGAATAAAGAGTCATTATTATTAACTGTGAACAACAGTTCCCTGTTTGTCAGCAGAGAATAGAGGAAGAGACGCATGTCAAAATAATTGCTATGGATGAGTGGATGTCACCGAGTAAAGACAACTGTAATTATAGAGACATGTGAGTGGTATCAATCTTTTCATACAACCCCTGGCAATTAAGTGAATCAGGGCTATTTCTTTAAAGTGCTTTAGAAAAAGAGTAAACAGCATCCTCAAGGCTGAAGCCGCGTGTATTCAGCAGTCATCAATGCGAGTGTGTTTATTTTATTTTTTATCAGACAACCTAGCTCCTATTGGATGAGAGGTATGACATGCATTGTCATAGCAACTGATAACACATATGGCTCCCCTTAGAATACTTGTTGTATAAATGAAAAACAGAACAACCAGCTGGGTCCATTCGTACATGCAACTTATACTGAGACCAGTGTCTGTTGAACTGATGAAGAACTGATGAAGAACTGATTCACTTTGATCTGACCATAATATGGTTTGGATCATGCAATACCAGAATCGTCCTGCAACGGGAACATTTACGTTTTTTCACAATGGAAGTATAGTGCAGATAAAGTCAAGAGAATAGACCTGCATACTAAGAAATAACAAAGTAGGCCTATTTTAGTAGTAGTAGCAGCAGTATGTATTTATATGTTTTAAAGTGTCCATATACAAATATAGAAGTAGCTGGTACCGTTAAAGCTTAAATTGCTTGAGGGTATATTGCACAACGTTTTATATTCACAGGCAGTATTATTGCACAGTCTGTGTGTGTGGTGGTCTACGAGGGGCCGTGGTGGGGATATTGGCTGAAGATTCATGTGTAAACTGTTAGCTGTTCAGTGTCAAAGTGTTTCCATGTCTCCAAAGGAAGAACAAAGAATAAAAAAGCGATTTTTCTTTACCTCGTAGTAGTTTTGGAAACCTTCATCAGTGAGAGTGATGGAGATGGAGAAGATGGAGTAGGTGGTGTTTTGGTCGAAGCCTGTTTCACTGTTTCCTCCATATAAATCCAGAGCCCAGCACCTACAGACACACAGCATTTAATTACAGAAACACGTGTTTACTGCCAGTAAATAAGTTATTGACTACCATAAACTGGAAAGAGAATGCACATTAGGAGTTGAAATATGTGCAGGAGGACAATAAGTAGAAAGTATGGCACTTGATGTTTCTAGGTGGCAGACAATTTAACAAACACTTTTGTGGTCCCACTGAGGCACTCAGCGTGGCTTTACGAATCCCAGAATGAAGAACGCACACATCATTCGTTTATGGGTTTGTGTTATTTAAAAAAAGGATGAGAAACAACGTGCAGGGGTTTGAGATGTTTTAGAGCTGGGTTGTTCGTCACATTGTGTCTGCTTCCATCGGCATAAAGACATGTTGTAGTGGTTTGATGGTGCACTTTAACAGCTGCACTGCATTACCAAACAAGCAGAAATGATGTTTTCTGCAATGGATCAAACCAAGCCAGTTCTGATCTCTGAAAGTTTCACACTGACTGCACTGAAATGAACTTAAACCAGTGCTGTATAGTAAACATTTATATAATATAAATTCACCCCATCCTGCGAAACACTGGTATTGGCCTTCAATCTTATGGCAGTATGAAGAAAGTCATATGTACAAATCTTTTCAGCAAATATGTCTTTATCTTTATTGTGACAGTATTTTAGGGTTGTTCATTGATGCTTTCACGAGATTTAAACAATGAGATTTCTAAAAATAATCATCAGTAATGTTGATTTAATGACCAAGCGGGTAGAGTAATTATATAGCAAATTATTCTGAAAATGTGATCACTTTACTGTAACGCAACCTTCAAAACCAGGTAAAGACAACATTTATGGTATTACACTATACAAAATCTCACACTGCATCTACTCTCACATCATGAATACAATATAATAATCATATACTACTACATTTAGGCATCTGTTCAGTAGTGCAGCAAATAGTGTGTGTAATGGACATATACTGCACAAGGGCAGACCTTTCCCCAAAACGTTACTGCAGGGTACAACAATGGCCCAGTTTCAGTCCAGCCTCTCTGCCCTCGGCTTTCTGATTATCTGAACTCAATAAAACCGGAGTTTGCCGTGCCTGGGAATTCACAGCGAGCACACACACGGTAAATAGGAATATTCCATCAAACTCTCCAAGTGGTGCCGATGGTGAAGGCAGCGTTGGGTGAGATCGTGGTGTTGTGGGACTACAGAGGGGTTTGTCGCATCACTTTCCCACTTAGCAGTAAGAGGCTGAAATGCTCTCGTACATCCACATCCAGAGAGGAGGATGTATGAATCACATTGTGGAGTGGGCTGGCAGAGTGTATACTTTGAAGATTGGACTCGAGCACTCAGAGCTCAGAAAAGCCAGTGTCATGTATACCCGGCAAATTGAAGACCTTTTAATTGGGTTTTTGGAGTGCCCTCAAATCAGCAAAACAAACAGACAGAGGCAATAACACTCACTTCTTCCTGAGCACTGAGAGGATGCTTCCTGTGCCTTCATGGCCAATCAGCCAAGAGATGTAGTGGAGAGGCTTCACTCTGAAAAGACGGGGGAAGAACAACATGAAAAGGAGAAACAAAACACATTGATGAACTCCTTTTACAAACAGAGCAGAGTATGGCCGGTCTAATTCTGATTATACAGTATGAAGAGGCTGCACTCTGAAAGGAAAGAGAAACAAACCGTTGATACAATGTATTACAAGTAAGGTTTGTTTCATTCATGTCCATGCACCGTATATTATAAATGTACAGTATGTGGCTCACCTGTAGTATTTCTCCTGAGGGGGGAGCGCCCAGGTGATATTCAAAGCATGGACTTTCCTGACTGGGACGACTGCAAACAACCAGATAAACAGCATGATTTAAGGATAACTTAACTTCTGCTTGCTATATATTACTGCTCGCTCGGTGGTATTTCCTCAACATTATAGCCTTGTAAACAAGTAAAACAAAATCTGCAGTATTTAATTAGTTTGCAAGTGTTCACACATTCAACCAAAGCAATTATAATTTCCAGATTGCTCCATTAAAAAAGGGTTTCCAGAGGTCAAATTCCTTCTTTTTAAAAAGCATTGTCTATATTAATTTTCCACATAGATAGGCAGACAACAAAAACAAACATGACAGCACGGCTAGAGGTCAAATTCTCAATTATTTGAAAGAAAAAAGGCACAAGAACCGAGACAAGTCTGAAAAAATACGAATAGATAGAAAACAGGATTGCTCAGTACCTCTGTAGAGCTTGTTGAAGGCTGCTGTGTCGAAAGGATCAGGCATGTCAGAGAAATCTGGCTTGGACAAAGCACTGTAAACACAAAAGCAGAATTATAGGAAGCAGCAACAGTAAATTACACAATTACACCAATATGTCACTTAATATGTCTTAACGCACCATAGTGCTTTTTCATGACACTAAAAATCGAATTTCTTGTATTTTTTTAAAACCAGCAGAGAGCTCTTTGGTAATTACACCAATTATTTTTATAGATAAGAGCTAGAGATAATTTAAAACGTTTAGTTAAAAACTGTTCGCAATTATCACTTACATAAAAAGCACCTTGCTTCTGCTCCTGAGTGTTAACTTCTCATCTGTTTTGAGCGTGATAAATTGCTTTCATTTAAAAGAGTTATTGCTTAAATATATAGCATAGATAAGAGAAATGTTATCAACCCAAACAGGTGAAACGGTTTCGCAGCACCGTGATATGCATGGGAATTCTCTGGAAAAGATAACCTGCCACAGACAGTGACTCAGAAAGCGCACAGAAGTGGATTTCTCTGAGAAAAACGAAATTATTAAACTCTAGGGAGAAATGATACCCTTCAGGTGTATGATGCTGGGGGGGGGAAAGAGCTGGGAGAGAGACGGAGAAGGGCTTGACATTTGAATTTGAGCTAAGTCTCAAAGGAGTTCCAGACTCAATCTACATCACAGCAGCCGCTCATCATCACGCTGACTGAGAGCCTCTTCTCCTATACTCACTTGTTCGGCACCTTGCTGAAGATCTCTCTCACCCACTTCTCCAGAGTGTCCAGCGTCTCTAAAGGACAGAGCCGGTGAAGGAGCATTAATTAGAGTTCAAGTGCATCTCAATAATTCTGACTGAAATGCAGAGCTCAATGCAGTGTGTTTGTTTCAAAGCATTGACTTCATTTACGAAGGCACAATTCATTATTAGTTTTCCAACTATTATCTGTTGTGGTCAACGGAGTGATGAAAGGCCACCACTTTCTGTGTTATAAACTTTAATGTACTTGATAATACACTTTTTTAGTGGTGTTTTTTACATACCTAATGAAGAAAGTAGTAAGATATAATTAAAACCCATTAAACTGCCATTTTGATTTACATATATTTAAAAACCACTCATTTAATTTGGAAGAAAAAGCAGTCTTTTATTGACATACATTAGGATAGTATCCTAATGTATGTCAAGGATACTATTTATAGTATGCATTTTCTTACGCAATAACCATTCAATGCATTACAAAACATCATGTAATCCAACATATTTAAAAAATATATAGCTGTTTAATTGTAACTGGCACAGTCCCTCCATCCTGCGTGGGACTCAAATTACACACCAAGGGATTAATAGGAGGATGCATGCATGTGTTTCTGATTGATAAAAGCCTCCTTGTTTACTGAGCACTCTCCTACAGCAGGGCTATCGATACTAACAGTATCAGCAGCCGTATCAATATGTCGTTTGGATCTGTCTCATGCAAGATTATGTTTTGAACAAATGATCTCTGCTCTTTGTGCAAACACTCTTTGCTCCAGAAAAACCCTCCCGCCCTGCGCACAGCATGAGTTCAGATCGTGATCGAAAGCTCACAGCATGATGGAAAAAGGCCAATTATTGACTTTATTCTTTAATAAAACAATGCGACGCAATGAGTCTTTTCAGCCCTGTAAATGGATACAGCAGCTGCTCTTGCATTGCTCAAGGAGTTTTTCTGCCTAGTTCATTCGATACAAGGGCTGAACCCTTAAAGGAATAATAACTTAAAGCTGCTAAAAATCACTATTTCTAAATCAACAATGGAACAAATGACTGGGTTATGTGAAAGTAATTTCTCACACAGAGAATAATGCAGTTCCCCTCAGCACTAGAGAGTGTGTTAGCGTCTTCTAGCTCCTTGTTTTTGCGTTGCGGCTGGCACCTTCACCGTTTGGCTGCAGACTCACTGTTCTAATCAGGACTTTCTCCAGCCGTGGCTGTGCCAGAATAAAAGAAACACACGTTGTACAGTACCTGCCTAGCATCGAACGGCAGAAAGACAAAGTTAGCGCCCCGCTGGTGAATTTAATGGAGCAATTAGCAGCTAAAGAGGAAGATAGTTGCCTCAGGAGCAAGTGGCGACCAAAATAGAGTGGGATTTGTCCACTTAATTTGAAAAAAAGCAGTGTTTGCTGTATCCACTTCACAAAAGATAATATCTGTTGTTTACAGCTAAGTGCAATGCCTGAGAGTAACCCAAGTCAGTAAATAAATGCTGTATAAGGTGGCAGTTCCTTTCAAATGTAGCTGATTGTAGTTAAACCTTGTGTCAAGTTGTAATTTGATCAGTTGTCATTCTTCCTTATTACCAACAAATAAAATGGTGGTGGTCTAATTACAATAACACCTTTATATCATTTGAGATTTGTGAGCTGAAGACGGATTTTAAATAGCACAGAAAGTCCCAATCGGAATACACAAGAAGGCAAATAAATCATCTGTTTTGTGAGGAGGAATTTTTCTCGGCACAAATGTCAACACTAGCCATCGCTTTAGTTGCCTGCAGTAGTTAATTAGCCGTGTGATATTTTCTGTGAAGGCTGAAGACACGTGTTAGATGTTCTGTCTCCGACTATGTTTGAGAAATATCGCAATTTGAGTTCATTCAGGAATGATTAACCACGGTCGGCTGAACATGGATGAATCCTCATTAGAGCTGCGAGTAATTATTGTTTTAAAAATTGTCCATTAATCTACAGATTGCTTTTTCAATTAACTCATTACTTGTATGGAATTATTTAAAAAAAACAATTTCAATTTCTGTCAGTCTTCTAATAAGGCTTCTTCTACACGTATAATACATGTAATGGATTTTCCTGACCTTTTGACTGCACAGCCAGAGTCATGTAGTGGGCAGAGTAGTGTTTCTTCCAGAAGGCACGCAGCCGCTTATAGACATTGATCTTCTTCTCCTTTGGCTCCTGCTTCAGCGTCTGGGCATTCCCTGGTGTTGTCAAAAGTAAGCAATCAATTCAACGTTAAAACACTGTATAAAAAAACAGTTTACAAATGCTGGGATATCAGCAAGAAAAGGGAACTTGGCGTCAGTCTTAGAACTCCTGTTTGTTATTGCTGAACATACCCCAAGGAGGCCCTGTGTGTATTGTGTGTCCCAGTAGTTGTGTTTACCAACTCACCCCAGCAGAATTTGCCCATAGGGTGTCCAGGTTTGGCCAAACTGCCGAACAGCATCTCCTTCCTGTGGGAGTCTGACGGCTTAGCCAGCTGGTACTCTGACAGGGTGAGGGAGAGAAGCAGAAAATGTTGAGACGACAGAGAAAGACGGTGATGTGCGTGAAGAGCTGCGAGAGGAGAACTCAGCTATACAGAGGATGAAAAGATGTACTCCAAATACAAAAGGTGAACATTTCAGACACCAGGTCTCACCGCTGTCCACGGCCTCCACCTCCCTGTCGATGGCGTCTCGGATCATCAGAGGGCAGATGAAGAATTGAGCCCACCTAAGAAGGGGAAAGCACAGAGAGGATATAATCAGAGGCCTCATGCAGGCCAGAGATAAAGGACACAGGTCAGACTGAGGCAATCAGATGCCGACAGATAAAGACAACACCAGGATGCTGTGCGGCTGATTGAGCCTGTATTGTTTGTCACATCAGGAGTCCGTGTTACACCATATCCTACGATTCATCAGACATGTTTTCAGCAGATTATTGGGCGGGATCAGCCTCCTGAACAACAACAAAATGCCTGCGTGTGATGTTTGTAAAGTTCCAAGTAAAGTCGTCCCTTCTAAAGTCGTCCGATGCCTTCCATTTCGTTTCGTAAGAGGATAACCAAATCGAACAACGCTTCAATACAATCGGCCATTGTTGTTGTTGTCGATGTGAGGGATTTCCGCGCGGTTTGGATTTTATGAAGCAGGCACGTAAACGGCGACGTCATGACGCAGCAGCGGCAGCTCTGGGCAGTGTGAACAGAGCGGGAGCAGAAAAGGGAAACCGGAGCTGAACCAGAAAAGCTCCCGCTCGGAGCTAGAAAGGGAAAAGCGCTGGTGTGAAAGCCGCATTAGTGACATCATTATGTAATACTCAGACTTCTATTGTCTAGCGCTTCAACAAATTGTACATAATAAGGATAAGGGACATCTCTAAGCTTCCAATCACAACAGAGCCGACCAGCTAACCAATCAGAGCAGACTGGGCTCTGGTTTCAGACAGAGGGTGAAAAGAGGTGCTGCAGCACAGGCAGTGAGAGAAAAATAAAGAGCCTTTTGAACATTAAAGCATGGAGACACGTCACAGTAGGATGGAATAATGATAAGCAGGTCTTTCATTGTCCAAAAGACTTAAAAACTGGTAAGTGTGTTTTCTCTGCAAGTACAACTTTACCAGGAAGGGTTTCGTCATGAAGTTTGAGAAAGCCATCTCTTTTTGCAATAACAGTTTTAACATGTTCTTTGGAGTTTACTTTCTCCCCTGTTTGAGTCTCCTGTGTATTTGGTTGATCTGAAAATCATCGGACGGTTCTCCAGGAGTCCACTTCTGAATATCAACTGCGCGGAAGATAATAAAAACTCTAAACCTCCCTCACCTGTCAAGAGCCTCTTTGAAGCTTTTCCTCTGGACGTCAAACTGGAAGATGGTCCTCTCGCAGTCGGTGGAGGCGTTGTCGCTCCCACCGTGCTTCTTCAGGAAAGCATCAAAGCCGTTCTCGGAGGGGTACTTCTCACTGCCCATGAACACCACTTGGACACAACGAAAAAAACAGTAGGGGGGAGGGAAGATAACAGTTGTAAATAAAACAAAGAAATCCACCAAAGCTCCTCCGTGATGTGCCTCACATTTGTGGTTTTCTTATTTATGCGGAAGGCTGGCCAAACAAACTGTGTTGCATTATATATCCCACGGTGAATTTGATTTCCCATTTGGTGACAGTTATGATGACAGTCCATTAAAGAATGACCACTGCTTTATTAAATAATACATTTAGGATGAATAGTCAACAAATACATCAGAAGAGGAGACAGATACAGCAGTTTCTCCACTGTCAGTAGACTGGAATGCAACCCAAAGGATATTTTGCATTTCAAAGGAAAAACTCCTCCCCTAACCTAATTTAGGTTGTGTGGTGAAGGGTTTGCTGGGAAATGTGAGAAATTATTAACTGAAGTAGAAGCAGACAAATCAGGTTAAGGAAAAGAGGGTAAACTGAATAATTTAAAATAACAAAACAACTCCTGGAATGCATTAAATATGGTCGCTTTCCCTGATGTTTCCTTTTTCCGCCCACGTCAAAAAGGAGTTTTTTTCTTGTCCATATCAAAAGCGGTTTAGATGTTACATTATATGAGGCACATTTTGATTTGTGATTTTGAGATATTAAAAAGAAGACAAAGGACTTCACTTGAAATGTGATGCAAAACATTAATCAGAATTTCCTTTTTTAAACCGTCTTTGGTTGATTACTTACTGTGTTCCAGAAAGTGAGCGAGGCCAGGGAGGTCGTTTGGGTCGCTGAAGCTTCCCACTCCAACACACAGAGCTGCTGCAGACTGACACACACAGGATATAGAGTCATGTTTGAGTCTGGCACTGAACTCAAAGCCTGGTGATTATAGAGCCTGATATATATATAGCTTATTTCTCTGTACCCTTTGTTGTGAATTAAAAACAGTCAAAAAGACATGGATGAGCCAAACCCTAGCACTGTGTGGGATGTTTAGGATGATTAAGAATATCTTTATGATACAATTTTCGGGTGAATTGTGTCTGAACTGCATGTTGTGCTGTATACGGTGAGTGTTCTGTGTGAACTATTCATATCTTAATGCACTGTAACTTTTTATTCATGTACTTTTTATTCATGTATTTTTTCTTTTAATATTTATTTTATTATCTTTTACTTTTTTTAAATGCCTTTGTCTGAATGTCTTTCATTTTTGTAAAGCACCTTGAATTGCCTTGTGTTGAAAGGTGCTATATAAATAAACTTGCCTTGCCTTGATGCTTTGGTTGATATGACCCAAGTCCATTTAATGTAAATTGAATGGACAATAAAATTATCTGAATAAGAATCCTTCTTATTCGCTGCTTTTAATTGAACTATTCATATGCACTGCACTGTAACTTTTATCCATGTATTTTTCTTTTAATGACTGATTTTAAATGCCATTTTCTTAATATCTTTCATTTTTTGTAAAGCACTTTGAATTGCCTTGTGTTGAAAAGTGCTATATAAATAAACTTGCCTTGCCTTCTTCTAAACCTTAACAAGAGGCACTGTGGTTGACTTTGAATCATTTCCTTGTACACTTTGCCTTGCATAGCAGCTACATTTTCGCAAGATCATTCAACAATTAATCTCATCAGGTTTTAAGTAAGGGGTTCATGTCAGCGTCCTGTGAGGAGCTGCGCTTTGATGTGACGACACGGAAAGTCGACTGTTTAAAACATCAATGCTGGCTCCTAAAGAGGTCTGCATATATGTTGCAACAGCATCAGTTATATTATAACTAGTGAGCATATATTTGTTGAAAGAAGAGCAAAGAACGACAGAAAAGCCTTTACTCTATGAGCGAGATGTTTTCACTCTACAAGCTGATGGACAGATGGTTCATTTGATCACCTGCCAAGTTGTTTTTGAAAGTGCTTGACCTTTTTAAAACAGTTTCCAATGACGGCTTCTCAGATGGTTCGGTGTAGCGAACCATCTGGCGCACCAGGTTAACATACACCCTTATGCTGCTGTGAATATTCACACCAAATTTGTGTCTAAAAATAGTCTCTAATAAATGCACTATGTAAGCTACTTTTATTAATGTTGGTTACAAAAGAAACTGCCCAGGCTTTTCAAAGGACTATTGGCCTTGTTTCATTATGAAACTTTATACTCGTGACTGGTTTTTAAAGATTTACAAGAACGATTGGGAATACAGCTGAGGGTTACAGACGGGGCAGGAAATTAGTATTGACATAAAACAAAAAAATGAATTGTTTTGTTCTTTTTCATGTCCTTTTTCCACAATGAGAAAAACATATCCTTTAAGAAGCTGAAGCCCTGTATGCATGGGTGTTTTAGGCACAGTAGTGAAAGGATATCAACAGAACCGACAAAAAGAGTTTTACATTAAACACTTCATACCTGCTTCTCTGAACTTCTTTTCTTCTTCTTCCCCTCATCGCCATCCTCTTCTCCATCACTGCCCCCCTCCTCGTCATCCTCCTCAAACTCTTCCTCCATTTCATCTCCAGATTCATCGTCCTCCTCCTCTTCTTCTTCGTCGTCCTCATCCGAGTCGTCGCCTTCGGACGGTACTTGGTTGCTGTAGTCTGAGATGAGCAAAGCTCGCAGGCCGTTGTCTAGCACAATATATCTGTAGGGAGAAAGTTCAAAGCATACAGAGCAATACAAAAGTGTTTATTTCACGAGTGTTACAGCATTTATTGTTTTGACTTATTCTGAAGAGTCTGTTCAATCAGATGGCTTTTTGCAGACTGAATCTCATATCCTTTAGGACACTCTTCTACTATGATTTTCCACAGTACATTTCTCTGAATGGCCCACAGAGGCCTGAGGCACTGGCATGTGCTCATAGCATGAAATCATCCCATCAAACTACAATAATACTGTACGGATCTAGCTGGATAAGAGGTGAGACATCATTTTTAGATCTGGGTTAGTGGATCTGGGTCATTTTATTTTACATTAATAAAATGAGAACATTTCAGCCTGGCATGTGTATCATTGCATGTTAATCATATTACTAACAGTGACCGAGGATAAAGTACAGAATCGAGGAGATAATCATTTAGCAGCGTTAAAGTCAAATGAATAATACTCAGGAGGATAGCCACATGTAGTATGATTTGAAGTTGCTTTACCTGTACTGCTTGGGGTCACTGGGGGACTTGATGATCTCGCTGTCTCCAACATTGTCCTCTCCTCCTCCTCCGTCCCCTGCAGCCTGGCACTCCTCCCGGGACACCTGCTTTGCATCTTCTGCGGTGGCTCCACTTTGGACCGAGCCTGGGGTGATTCTGGATTTCTTTGTTTGCGGCATCTTCAGCACAGAAGATGAGAATTTGGCACTGCGGGCTGACAGCAATGCGCGACCATAAACAACAGGACAGGTCGCCTTCACCGGTAATTTTCTCCTCAGCACGGACACACACCGTGTCAGCCTGAACAGAGCTATGATGAAAAGCCTCCCCGACGGATGAGTATCGTCAAGATGAAAGCTCAGAAACCAATGGGACCGAAATAACACAGATTAACCAGGACCCCCTCTGTGGAAGAGGCCTAAAGGTTTGTTCACTCACACAGCAGCCAGCGCCCACAATACAGCTATTCACACAGGCTGTCTGGTGGTTTCGCCCTATTCAGCTTATTGTCAGCTAAAAAAAACAGCCAGGCAGACCAGCCCAACCTAATGCTGAACCTCTAATATGCACAGCAAGACTCGACACAGCAAAACAAAACCAACACGAAGGATAGTAAAAACTGCCACGAAGTATCCTATACATACAGAGAAAGAGTAATGCTTGCTACAGACAGTACAGGTTAACCAAACAACTTAGTGCAAACAAACTCGTACACATATTCTTTAAAATAGCCTTTAACACATTATGTTAACAGTCTGTTTCAAGGCAAGCCGAACTGAAACTTTAATAACTACTTCATGAAGCCGGTGAGGCAACAATGTATCCATACCTTCGCTCCTGTTTACAGCATAAGGGCCTCTGTATATGTGAATACTAGTGTCTCCTCAACAAGGCACGCTCTGATTGGCTGAGAGAATTCAGAGCTTCAGTAAGCTTCTCTCCGATTGGTTCTAAGCTCAATGGGGCGCGGTTTCGGTGCTAACACGTGCGCGCAAGCCAGTCAGGAGTGGTTAATTTGTGATAGCTGCAGAGAAACAGACAAATAGCGGCAGCGACAAGTAGCCACCTTGATGTTACCAGCAGCTGCCAGCCATCTGTTTATGATTATGACTGCTAGATTGAGAATGTTTAACCGACCACTTGTCATAGCCGGTAAATGTAATTTCCCTCCTCATCTCCTTAGCCAATATCGGAGGTCAGAAGTGGATTGGATGTGAATTGTCTTGTCAGCTAGCCACATGGCAGCCACAGCTACTGAATGGATTGTACCCCCCACCTCTCCGCGTGCACCTGTATGAGGCAAAACGCTGGGATAATTGGTTTAGGGTCCGCTAGGTGGCATACATATGCCACGAGGGATGTTAGGCACATTTTACCACTTATATTTTGAGAATTGTAAATGCTTCCAGGTATTTTTTTAAATGGCTAACAATCTGCATTTCTTCCACAGAATTTGGTATTTGAAATGTAAAAATGCCCTTACTCAAAGTGGTCCCCTGAGACATCAAAGTAAGACAGGTGTTGAAAAATGGTTGGTAAATCATAGTAAAATGGTTGAAATCTTATCATGAATAAGCCACATTGACATTTGTCCAGTGCCCTTCCTCAGCTCTGCAGCGTGTTGGCATTTCACCCCTCTGCTGTGCCAATATGTCCTCCCCCTCACTCACCAACTCTCTCTGTCTGAAGCCAATCTGATTTTCCCCTGGGCTTCTGTCGGCAGAAAGAGGTGATAAACACCGCAGCCATGACAACCGGCTAGCCAGACACCCGCCTGAGTTCCCGTATCCTAATGGCTTTAACTTGGCATCCTCCCCTCCTTTAATTCATCAAGCCCAGGCTTCACCTGCTTTTAAGGCTCTCGGGATGAATGAAGGCGGCATGCCACTACAGTTGGAGTTTTGAGCGCATTCTGTATAAGCTAATGGTAGATCTATCAACATGCAAGATGAGACACTGTTATCACTAAAACCTCCACACTGCTTAAAATAGAGCTTGATTAGTCACTGAATAAATATTCCCTCAGTCTGATTCAAATTAACAGAAATGTTAGCATATTGATTCCTAGACTGCTCTAGAGGAGTCAGACAGAAAATGAAAGTACTGGGCTGATTCTCACAAATATATCCTATTGATCACTAATGGAGCCCTTGTGAGAACACTTTGAATGATGTTTTCAGAGCAAAGTTCTTGCACCCGGTGTACTGTAGCAGCCCTGGTGTGAGTGCAGAGTCGTTTGCTCAGCTGAAATTGCCTGGCTGCGGTAAAAAGCAAAGATAAGCAGTCTATTAGAACTGTGTGAAAGTGCTTTTACATGCCTCACCACGTGAAAACTTTCAGAGCACAATGGCAGACTCGTGTTAGTGATCGATTGGCCATCCCCTGCGAACCATGAAGGGCCCCTTTAATGCCAACACACATGGTATTTTCATGGTAATGTACATGGAATTGTCGCGGGTGCTACAGTATATGAGCTGTCGTAATTCCACCTTTTTTTCCACTTTTGTGCCCCTCTTTATGACTGAGCTCAAATTGAAGTTCAGATCATGCACCTTAAGGCTTCTCCAGGAAAAAAATTGTGTCTGTGTGAAAATGCAATGTAGAATGCAGCCAGCTGAATCATTGGAGGTATTATGAATTTGTCCCCTTCAGAGAGTCAGCTTCCAAGAGAGACTTTAGAGACAGCAGCATCAAGTCTTTACCTTACGATTCCAAGGGGGCAAGGTTCCCACAGCAACTGATTTGAATCCTAATTAAAACCCGGGGATTTGATTAATGAGCACAACGATGTGCATGTGTGTGTGTGTGTGTGTGTGTGTGTGTGTGTGTGTGTGTGTGTGTGTGTGTGTGTGTGTGTGTGTGTGTGTGTGTGCGTGTCGATGTTGCATGGCTCTTTGTATGTGGCGAGTGTGTGGGAGTCAGCATGTTCTTGTGAGTCACGGCGTATCTTGTGTGTATGCTAAATGAGAAGGGGGTGTTGTATGCCTATGCTTGTGTGTGTGTTTTCGTGTGTGTTCATGAGCCTCTGGGTAATCCTGTGAATCACTACTGTGTTTTGAGCAAGTGTTACACATGTGTGTGTGTGTGTGTGTTTCATGTCTCCCGGGAGGCTTGTCCTTGCCTGCAGTACCACTGTGTGAATCAGAGGTGAGTCCTCTGGAGTTGCCCTCTGCTTTAATCTGCAGCTAATGACAGAACCACCTGCCCTCCTGGCCATCCTCCTCCCCCATACCCCCTCTATCTGTTGGCTCCTCTCCCCTCTCCCTTCACCACACATCTCAGCCAGCCCTCACAAACCCCCAAACTCCCAATGCTCATTGTCTCCCTTTCACTCTCTCCCACAACTAGCCTTTTATTTCCCTCCTTCCCTCCCTCTCCGCCCTGCTCTCTTCCACTTGCTTTCTACTCTTTCCCACAGAGTGCATGATGCCCTTGCCTGCCTCTCTGATTGCCTCATTCCACTGAGTAACTAGATGCTGGGGGCAGTGAGGGCCCCAAAGAAACCGAAACACGTGTTAAGGGACAGCGCAACAGTATGTGAACAACGTGTAGCTTTAAGGAGATTTTCTGACCCATGCATTGGCAGGGGAGTGGAGCAAACCACGTTCCTGCTCTTGTCTGTTTGGCTGCTTGTCCTCAAGTCTGGAGTGTGTGTGCAATCACGCATGCAAGCCAGTCCCGGTGGATGTCTCGGGAACAAAAGCATAATTGGAGAGAGCTGCAAAAACGAGATGACCACCACTTCCTGCAATGTGTCCACAGTGGAAGAGAAGGAGTGAGCAGGGGGAGAAAAACAAAAGGGAGGAAATCAAAGAGAGAATGGCGTGTAAACCAATCGGAATTGACAAGAGCCCACAGGAGAATCAAAGTGAAAGTAAAGAGGGGGAATGGAGAATGAAATAAAGGGGAGCGTAATAGAAGAAATCTGCGTATGATCTGACAGAAATAATTCAGTTGAGAGAAAGGAAAAGGCTTTGGAGAAGCAGAAAGCGGAGGAGGAAGAAAGGAGAAGTGGCTGAAGTGAAACAGCATGAATCCCCATCCATTTCAGCACTGGACAGCTCCACAGACAGCACTAGGCCAGTATAAATAGATCCCCTACTTTAGAGGCGCCGTCAATGCTCCAAAAAAGTGCTTTATGTGCTCGGAGCGCCTCCTGCCCCTGGAGAACAGACGCTAAGGTATCTGATGGTGCCTGATAACCATCTTCTCTCAGTTCCTCTCCGTTTGTTTTCTTAATTTAGGGAGCTTCCACGGTTCAACAACACTACGGTGAGAAAAGAGAGTGTTTTTCTCCCAGATACTCAGTCACGGCCACTGTAGACGATATAGCCTCAGGTCTGGGATCACATTACCCCTGCCACAGATCTAGCCGCACCAATCACAGAGCTGATCTCAGTGCCAAAAACCTTATTTTTTAAACATCAGCTGCAACCCTGCATGTTTGAAGTGACTTGAATGTATGCATTTGTCCGTATAGGCAATCTACACAAATGCATACATGTGGTTGTGCATACATGCCCAGCAACTGCCATCCTGTTTCCATTGCAAGAGAGCATTAAGTAGCCTTGTGGGGAAGCTGTATGAAGCCTAATGCACCTGAGAGCCCTGAAATCTATAACCATCATCTACATCTTCCTGATATTACTGGAACCGTCTCTGTTACTGTTGTTTCAGATAGGAATCTCCAGGGAGAGCTTTCCCCTCTACTGCTGCAGGGAGAGGTACAGGGGGGTGTAGGAAGAGGAGGGAGAGGAAGGAGAGAGAGAGAGAGAGTGTGTGAGAGGAAGGAGAGAGAGAGTGTGTGAGGAAGAGATGCACCTCTCAATTTCCTCAAGGTGATTCACCTTAATGCACGCTGAAATCAATGTGAAATTGAACTGAACATTGAACTTTCGGCAGAGTAATATGGAAGACATGTTGCTATTAAATCTTTTCCTATAGCCATGTAACCGGCTGACTGATATTTGAACACTTCTGAATTTTTAACACCGTGGCACCATGGTGTCCTTGATGGAGACCCTGCTATTGGTCCTCCCAGGACCCCTAGACTTAACAAGGGGGCATACCTGCCACTTATAGGCAGTATTGATGTAGCAGCAGGCACGTATTGGGCTAAAGCTGCATTCTGTTTTGATGGTGGGCTTCATTGCTCTCAATCTCCACGGCATCTGTTGCGCCCACCACCTCCATTTGGCGAGATAGGTGTTTTGATGCATCCGACCAGTCCTCCCTGTAATCTCTACTGTTTTCTTCATAAAAAGTCACCACCGTTTTCCCGACTGCGTGCTCGCTTGCTCCAGCTGGCACGAGTCGCCATGGTAACACACACCGGTTTTCACGAAATCCGTCGCTGTTTAAGGGCAAAAGGAGAGATGAATAAACTAATGAGATTATAAATTATTGTCGGTATAGCTCAACAGTCGGGGCACTGCACACGTGAGGAGAAAGTTTATGGGGCCCATTGTGTGACTATTGTCTTCTGTAATGAAGTAGCCACCCCGCGCCTCATAGCCTAAACACTTTCGCGCCGCCTTATTGCATGATCAATTCCGGCCCCGTCTGTCCCCCCTTCTTCTTCTTCTTCTTCTTCTTCTTCTTCTTCTTCTTCTTCTTCTTCTTCTTCTTCTTCTTCTTCTTCTTCTCCTTTCTCCTCTATGAATTACCCAGTTGTGTGTGAGATGAAGAGAGGTTTCTCCGTGTCTGCACGCAGGCTAAAACTCCGCGTATATCGCCCGCCTGTCCAGCGGTCCAGAGCCGCAGCTTCCCCGGGCTGCACTGTGGAGAAGCGGACCTGCATCCTAAAGCCAATCGGGGTTCTTTTTTTTTGTTGTTCACTCTTTCCCTCTCTCTCCCGGTTTTTATCCTCCACCTCATTGCAGTCTTATCACGTCCCCCCCTCCCTCCCCGTGCTCTAACCCCCCCCCCCCCCCCCCTCCCTCCCCATCCGCCTGAGCC